CCACGCCTTATTTAGAATCTTATCTATCGCACAATATTTTATATTTATAATTTAAGAAAACTTCAAATTTAACCTTTGTAACAATAGCAACGCCTTATCAGCCACACCTCATTTAAAAATCTTCTACATCTCACATTTTTTTATATTTATAATTTTATAAAACCACAAATTTAACTTTTACAACAATAGACATATTATTACCCGCTGGTAGCTCAACCACAAAAGATGCGGAAACCGTGTATGTTTTATCTCTAGACATCTCTTTAAGTATACCCATTCACTTGTAGATGAGTTTTGGGAGACCATTGATTTACTTACAGAAGAGTTTGGTGAGAATATAGATTTATTGACAGAAGAAGGTTTGAAATGTTGTTAAAGACATATATTTTTTTTTTTAAAGTGAAATCGATGAATCCGGATATTTCTAACTTGAATAATTATCGACATTTACTCTGTGTGCAGATACCGCCTTTACAAAGTTCTATTTGGAAATGAGAGGAAATAATGATAATAATTTCAATGATATCGCACTAAAAACTACACTTTCTGTCGTGCTCGTGGTGTTTAAAGTCCATCTGTTCTGCACCGACTGGGCTAATGAAGAGGCAGTCCTATTTAGATTAGTGGAATTGTTTAAGAATATATTATTAATATGGATGTTTGGAAGGGTAAGGTAGAGTCAAAACGGATATGGAAGGGCTAAGGAGGTGAGGGGGGAATTCGCAGAAGCCGGATGCAGTTAGAGGCTGGATGAAGAAGGGCGAAGGTGGCTGACAGGAAGGCGATGCAGGTTGAAGAAGGACGAAGTGGGCAGGATGAAGGTTGCAATAGTTTGAAGCGGGATGAAGAAGGGCCAAGTGAGCAGGGTGACGATTGAAGTAGGTCTAAGCGTAATAAAGAAGGCGAAGTGGGCGAATGAGGTTGGAACAGAACGAAGGTCAAAGGGGACAAGTTGGCAGGATGAAGAAGTAGGATAAAGAAGGAGGAAGTGGGCAGGATGAACGTTTGAAGCGGGATGACGAAGGGCAAAGTGGGCGAAGGAGGTTGAAGCAAAACGAAGAAGGTGAAAGGGGGCGAAAGAGGATAAAGAAGGGCCAGGCTGGCGGGGAATCAAGAAGGACGAAAGGGATAAGCAGAAGGTCGAAGCAGAAGGACGAAGGAGGTTAATGTAGGGTAAAGAAGGGGGGTGATGCGAAGCTATTAGTAAGATTCGTACATCGTTGGGAATCAATTTCTTTAAATTGAACGACGTAAACACCGAATATGTTCTTTTTGGATCAAACAGCTTAAGTGTCCAAACTTGATCAAGGTGTTTCACTCTTAGTTGGTGAGCGTGAAATAATGCCCATATCTTCAGCCAGTAACATTGGTGTTATCTTTGTCAGTGAACTATTCATGGGTAAACAAATTAGCAATATCTTTTATTTTCAACTGAGCAATATTAGTAAAATCAGAAAACGTTTGCAGGTTGAGTTCATCAAAACTGTATTTCATTACCGATTGGATTACCATCTCGTCCAACTGATAAACTACAAAAGGTTCAAAACGCGGCAGCTCGACTTATTACCGGAAGTAAATATCATGATCATATCACACCTGTTTTAATCCCAACTTCACTGTATACTACTGTGTTTTAGAAATTCAATATAAAATCATTCTTTAAACTTTTAAATGTTTTCATCATGTTGCACCGTTATATTTATCAACGGTTTTAGATATATTCACCCCACCCGTACACTGAGATCATCGAGCGATTCTCTTATCTGCAAAACACCTATAGACTGAAAACTGTCCGTGAATAATCGTTTACAGTGCAGGTTCCAAAATTATGGAATATGCTCCCATTTGCCCTAAGAAGTTCTACCTCTTGTAATACTATTTGGTAATTTATGCGAAATTGCATTAGGAGAATATAAGTACACCAGATGATATGATTTACAATTTGATAAATACTTATGTTTTATTTGTCTTCTCCAATGTCAGTATATTATCTTTGTATGAGTTTATTTTAAAACACAAATTAAATTGTTTATGAAATATTGTCACAAGGCCAAGGATAAATTCTATTGTCTATTACACTCATGTGAGGAATATTCCAATCCATATTTGGCTTAGTTATGTGGTCATTGGGCTCAGTAACCAATCATCATAATTTATTACGTAATATTTGACCAATTAAATAATAGATAGCAAAAGTCGAGATGTGAGCGATTTTATTGTCTATGATATCACTCTCGGTGGAAGTGGACGTAAAACTCCAGGAATGAACGATCGCGCGATTTTAGACACCATGTAGATTTGAGAGAGCAAACATCATGTAGAAATTCGTTAGGAGAGACGGTTGAGGTTCAAGTGGCAACATCTGGGTTGAGAGATTTTGATCTATGCTTGTACTCTATGTATCCAGCTTGATATAAAACTGTAGTAACCGTACTATTGTTCCTGTCATCTTGTTTGTTAATAATTTGGGACTGATAACGTGGCATGTCAGAGTGACATTTAGAGATACGCCTTAACGGCGGAGATAGAAATATATACACAACGGCGGAGATAGAAATATATACACAACGTGAATCATAAGAAGAGAAATTACAAATTTAACCAGTGACAATACTAGAAGGTCAAATGGTTAATAAAATACGTAGCAGAGAAGAAAATATGCGTCACACGTTGGATGTGGGGAGTTTTTGACAGTTTGGTTTTCCACATCTAATCAGCGACGAACTGTGCATAGCGACGCATAGTGCTAGACTCCTAATCGAGGTTTTTTTTAAATCACAATTGAAATTTTTTTTTTTTTTTAGACAAGCTTTTAGTTCAATACGTTTATCCAGTTTTTTTCGTTTGTAACTATACTTTTTTTTAAATTATTATACATTTTTAAAAGTATTTTATGTATATTGTACAGCGTATCTGAATAGATTTTTTGAAAGCATGCGCTATATAAATGATTTTATGATAATAATATTAATAATATATGTCCATTTCTAGTAAGTATCCAGCCGTCTTTAAACACTTGACTGGGGATTTGCTCAATAACATTTCTTTATAAACACCACGCTTGTGTTTTGTTATGAATGAATGAATGAGTGAATGAAACGAATGAATGAATGAATGAATGAATTAATGAATTAATTAATTAATTAATCGAATGAATGAAATGCAATGAGGTTTCATATCCAACCTTTCTGCGCCGACTGGGCTAATGAAGACAGGCTTGTGTTATGTGGGCAATGTTGGGTGTGTGCGTATTTTTTCTATTGTTCTCTGTCATTTATATATGTATTTATGTATCTAGTTCACCGTCTTCATTCTGTACAATATGTATAATGAATTGTAATGAATAACGAGAATAATAAAAGCTTAAAAAACGAGAAAATGAGTGTTAAACAGATAATGTTCTAAAAGAGGAACCCCATAGCTTTGTAGACATAGGCGGGTTGGATGGCCGAATAGGTAGCCCTAGCGCGTTGAATCATAAGGTCTGTCATTGAGTCAGCTGACGTGGTTTTGATACCCCGGCTGTACGTGACAAGGAGAGGGGTCGCCTGTCCAACCTCGTGGGTTTTCTCAGGGTTCTCCGATTTCCTCCCAATGCTAAAGACCCCAACGCGCAAGCAATTTCTTGAAATAAAATTGAACCACATATTAGTCCCGAAATGACCTAGTCTGTGTCGAGTGAACGATACCTCTCTCTCTCTCCCTCTCTCTCTCTCTCTCTTTCTCTCTCTCTCTCTCTCTCTCGTTTAGAGCTAGAAAGGGAATGGACGATTCTAAAGCAACCGCGTCTTTTTCATATGTTACGAAGCTGAGACATTCACAACCTGAATTTGTTAGGTGAAGAATTATAAAGTAACCACTACGGAGCTGAGAATTAACTACTTGGCTATAAGGTTTGAATCCCGACGTCGGCCGAGAAGAGACTTTTAGAGTTTTCAAGCCCTGTCCCATTTACCAGGGTTGACACGTAAAGTGTGTCTAGTCGTTCGAATGGGACGAACAAACGAGGTCCCTATTGTAAATTGCTATATAATGCACGTAAAATATCCCTTGACAGTTGGAATTGGAAGTCTAGTATGTGAAAACAGCGCTGTTCGGGCAAAACCTTCATCTCGCATTGCACGCGCTACAATAGAAATAAAAACAGGGAGTTGGTGGCTGAGTGGTTTAACGTGTGCGCACTAGACAACAAGGTCGGTCATTAAGTTCAGTGGTGCGGTTTTGATTCCCTACCAGTACGAAACAAGGAGTAACCTCGTGGGTTTTCTCCGGGTCCTCAGGTTTCCTCCCACTGCTAAAGACCCCTACGCGCAAGCGAAGTATTGAAATAAAATAGAACTATATGTTAGTCCCAAAATGATCTAGTTTGTATTGAGTGGACTTTAAACCCAATCTCTCTCTAGAAATAAAAAAATACCATATTTTTGTCTCAAAATGACCAAAATATTGTGCTGACGCGACGGTCAAACCCCATCGCATGCCTTTTGGGTTTGTGACTTTTCTAACTTCGTGGGTTTTCTACGGGTCCTCCGGTTTCCATCCAGAGCTAAAGACCCCTATACACAAGTGATTTATTGAAATAAAATTGTTCCAAAATGCGTTATTTTTTTGTTGAGTGGGTGTTAAACGCGATTTCTCTTTCCTTTTATTGTCGTGCATTCTTCTGGGATAAAAATACAAACAAATCATTAAATAAAAACTAATCTATATATATATATTTGAGACTGTCGTTTGTCTGTCTATCTATCTGTCTGTCTGTTCGGGGTTGGCGGCTACACTAGGCCTGCCCCGAGTCTGAAATTTGGGGTATAGGGGTAGCTCGGACCGGGGAGTAACATAGGCCAGGTGGCGTTAGTCTACCACTTCCGGTTTCGGAGTTATGACCCCCGAGCGAAGCCGGGTATCCTGCTAGTTTTATATAAATGAAATATACAAGGGTTGATTCTCTTCAAATGTTTTAAATATATATAATAATAACTAAATAAATTATTGAATACGTTTAACCAATCTGATTAAATAGAGATCTATATTTCGTTTCGTTTTTTTATACTTTCGATGGCCTACACTACATGAAGATCTGACAAGTTGTACTCGAAGGTCATGTCAGGGGTCGTACGAGTGGCTTTTGACTATATAACGTCAGACATTGATTAATCTATCAGCGTTGACGTTTCTAGTGGTTTAACCATGGACCCTATACACGGTCCATGGTTTAACCACAACACGCCAAGAACTCGCCGTAACAGACCGTTTCATTGACTTATCCCTCACTTCAACTAAAATGCCGGTAATATAACAACTCTTCCCGATCCTAGTGTAGTAAAGACAAGTAAAACGAAATTTTGAACTATAAAGAACGAAACGAAATAGTATCTGTGTTTTAATCAAATTGGTCTAACAAGCATGTTAAATATTCATGGAAACTATTAGCCCATTTTATCACTTTGTTAAATGAGTACTCCAATATAAATAGAAAATGTTCGAGATTATAGATATGTTAGTTTGCCATTATCTCCGGGTCCACGTGGTGTGCCTTTGATCACTGGATGCGTCTTTATTGTTGTCCCCAGAACTTGATCCGAAATTAAGCCCTGCGTAGTTACCTCGGTTACTGATACCTATATCAACGTCTTCCTCGGCGTCCTCGTCATGTGATCTCTTGCGTCGAGACAATAAATTCTCATCGCCTAAAGAGTGATTAACGTTGTCCTCAAAAGACGTGACGTCATTAACCTGTAAGGCCATGACGTCAGCGAGAGAAGTCAACCCCTGGTTGTATCTCTGAATCGCTTCAGCCTGCTCTAACTCAAATCGTAGTTCTTCTTCTCGGAATCTTTGTGCTGCCTCCAAGCGTTCTTGTCGAAATCGCTGCCTGGATTCAATAACCTCTTGTTGGTATCTGAGAACAGCTTCTCGTCGTTCCAGATCGTATCGTGATTGTATGACTTGGTAGTAATCTACTGGATTCGAAGAACTTGACGTGGACGACGAAGAAGACGAATACTGCCTCTTCTGTCTGGACAATCGAGCTTGGTTTTCACACGTCGTCAAGTTTAATCCCAACACACACAATACTAAAACCTGAAAAAAATAGCGTAAATTGATTACAAAAACATCTGTCATACGTTAATGCCACAAACAAAAAAATCCCTGGAAGGCATCAGTGGTTGTGTTCCTGGACAAAGCTTTACGGTGGTTCCTGTGACTTCATGAAACCAACATCATCTGTAAGCTGACGTTTGGGGGATGTTTCAATCATCCTTTTTAATGTTACACTTGTGCCAGTTCTAATGATTATAATTAGTATGGGGTCATGGGGTCAATTGAAAGGATATCACTTTGAAACGAACCAGGCAAGGTCAAACTTTACCCAAAGCTAACATGATGATGATATAAGGTATGGTGTGCTAGAAATTGGATTCGGGTCTCTGTTGAGTACAATACAACATCTCAGATTAGACAAGCATTTAGTTTAGATGGCAGAGTAAAATCTGGACAAAGTTTATGAGATAACATTTCGTTAGTCTTCTAGTCAAATGCGTAGAAATGTGTAGCCATTTCCTCAAATGAAAAGATTACAAATAAAATAAAATTAAACCAAGTACGAACAATCCAAACCATTAGACAAAATTCGAAGTCCTAAAAAAACGGTATAGGCAAAATAGTGTAATAAGGCAAAATAGTGTAATCAGCATATGGACTGTTCACCGTGTACAAAATACACGACAAACAGTGGTAACAGGTGTTACTATACAGAAGCCAGTCCTCGACTCTACGAGTTCTTGTCTGCGATATCAGCGTCGGGTGTCATACGAACGACTTATGATCAATCAATTAATCAATCAATTGATTAATCAATCAACGTTTACGTTTCTGGTGGTTTACCCACAGTTCCGTTCACCTTACGCCAAAAACTTGCCGTAACAGACCGTTTCATTGGCTAATCCCTCACATCATCCAGAACGCGGGCTATATAACAACTCTTCCAGATCCTAGTGTAGTAAAGACAAGTAAAACGAAATTTTGAACTATAAAAATCGAAACGAAATAGGATCTGTGTTTTAATCAGTTTGTCTGCGATATCACTTGTATTGAAGCAGACGTTTAACACCCAGAGTACTATGGTGATGTCACTATTGAAGTGAGTGGTAAGCGTCCAAGGTACTTAATACTGCTTCCCAGGGTCAAACATCAACTGAAATGCACCAAATTAAAAGTTTAAAAGAAATCACAGACACAGAAAAGAACCATAAATATTTTTATTATTATTATTATTACTGATCCACGAGTATTAATTAATTTCTACATTTAGACATAAACCCTTACTAATATAGTAAACAACTATGACATTGATTTTATATTTTATAAATTATACATGTCGAAGCAGGAGTAGATGGATGATGGAAAGTCACATGTTTTCACTAGGGAAATCTTATTTATTTCTACCGTGGGTGAAAAGTCAAATCACAGAGTAACATTTTTTTTATAGTTTTCTATCATAGAGTGTGGTGTAAATATGAATTAACGTGGACTTTCTCGTCTACAAGATTTCCAGAGTTTGTTATACTAAACAGAGCTTGTGTACATCTATCTACTCGAGGTGTCACCAGAAGAGAATAACTTCACAAGATAAATAAAACTAGAAAGCAATTTAACATAATAACCATAGTAAGATAATACCGTGGCCGAAATACAAAGAAATTATAATTCAAAGTACGAAATGTCTGCCTTATTTGAAAGTAGCATTACATGGATAGAAAAACATTGCAATCTTAGAAAACAAGCGAAGCCTAAATACAAAGTGCAATATTAGGAATTAGCATAGTAGAAATATTATAAACATTTTAAAAATTTGGAGCTGAGCCTCTTCTAAAAGAGACTATCGACCGTATCCACCATATGCTTGTTGGTTGGCAGCAGCCGGATCACCACCGTAGCCCCCCTGATAAGTACCTCCTCCATACCCTGCCTGATATCCCCCACCGCCATAACCACCGCCATAACCGCCATCAGCAACAGCGCCATATCCGGCGTTGCCACAACCACCACCGTAACCTGCTATACAGGACATTTCCCATGGACGGTGGTGTTACCGTTTAGTTGTCGCTTAATTCCATCTGCCAAGGGTTCTTTTTGTTTAAACCAACGTGTACACGGGATCTCGGTTTATTTCTTCTTCCCACCGACTAAACGCCGTTCCCTTCCAAACCCTCCGTCCAGCACCTCTGACAAGGGAAACCCGCCGTCCAGCACCTCTGACAAGGGAAACCTACTGAGCGACCGTAGCACCAGCGCTATAAAAACAAAACATTATCACCCCAAGACTTACACGTATGGCGTCCATGGTCATCTAAGAAAATAGTCGATGTGTTATGAAATCTCGACCTTGTAATAAACCACAAGGAATTAGTCAAAACTTACGAGAAAGGTCTTCATACTGTATTTACTGTCAATCTTCTTCAGCCTGGACCAGAAACTTGATTGTGAAGTACAACAGTTCTACAGTCATCTTATATACCTGGACATCACATAAAGATATTAACAGAATTTATCCACTCTGTATTAAGATATCAACGAAGGTCAGGAATATCAACGTAATGCACTAGAAAATAGAAACATTTTTACAATACCAGCCACGCCTTATTTTAGAATATTGTCTATCTCACATTTTTTTTATATTTATAATTTTACAAACTTCAAATTTAACTTTTATAACAATAGCCACAAATTGTCAGCCAAACATTTTAAATGTGTCAGCCACGCCTTATTTAGAATCTTATTTATCGCACATTTTTTTTTATATATATTTATAATTTAAGAAAACTTCAAATTAAACCTTTGTAACAATAGCAACACATTATCAGCCACGCCTCATTTTAAAATCTTCTACATCTCACATTTTCTATATTTATAATTTTATAAAACCACAAATTTAACTTGTACAACAATAGACATATTATTACCCACTGGTGGTCAACAACAAAAGATGCGGAAACCGTTATGTTTTATCTCTAGACATCTGTTTACTTATACACATTCACTTGTAAAAGAGTTTTGGGAGACCATTGATTTACTTACAGAAGAGTTTGGTGAGAATATAGATTTACTGACAGAAGAAGGTTTGAAATGTTGGTAAAGACATATATTTTTTTTAAAAAGTGAAATCGATGAATCTGGATATTTTTAACTTGAATGATTATAGACATTTACCGTTTGTGTGCAGATACCGCCTTTACAAAGTTCTATTTGGAAATGAGAGGAAATAATGATAATAATTTCAATGATATAGCACTAAAAACTCCACTTTCTGTCGTGCTCGTGGTGTTTAAAGTCCATCTGTTCTGCACCGACTGGGCTAATGAAGATGCAGTCCTATTTAGATTAGTGGAATTGTTTAAGAATATATTAATGTTAGAAATAAGTTCATTTTTTTCTAGAACATATGATGTTACTTTGTTGTTATGCGTTGATGTATACTATTCAAAAAAAGTAGGGGATATTTGATTTTGGGGGCATAATACTAAAATATGCAAATGACTACGAAAAAAGTCACTATAGAACCTAACAGAAGAAACATTTCCAGTTACATTTGACGCCCAAACGCACCAATAGCTACCGCATGGAATGCATGTGATGCTTGGGATCATCATGGGGGTCCAACCCAAGATTTGCACGACTCTGACTTTGAATGTTACAGTCATTGTGGCATTGAATTCCAGGGTGGAAACATCAGTTTAATTGTTTTAGTGACCAGAAAACAAATTTTGATATGCGTCGGCTTACCCAAAATGAAAGGTTACGTGCCCTTGGCATGCTACAGATCGGCACAACACAGGCGGTTGTGGTGCGGACGATGAATGTTTCTCAGTCTGTCATAAGCAGGCTATGGTCCAGATACCGTGATACACAATCTGTACAGGACAGACCACGCTCAGGTCGACCAAGGGCGACAACTCAAGCCCAGGATCGATTTATCCGTACCTTGGCCTTGAGAAATCGTGTCATCACAGCAAATCAGATCAGCGCTCGTCTTCAAACAGACATTGGTGTGAGAGTGAGTGGCCAGACGATTCGGAATCGACTGCATAGGGGTCACCTTCGCGCCCGACGTCCTCGCGTGATCCCTTGTTTGAGAGATCATCACATTCAGGCAAGACGTCGTTGGTGTAGGGATCGTCAACACTGGGATAATCGACGCTGGAGCAATGTGATGTTTTCAGATGAGTCAAGGTTCACTGTTGATTTTTTGGACAGACGTAGGAGGGTGTGGCGTCGTCGAAACGAGCGCTTCCAAGACGTTAACGTCATCAGACATGATCGATTTGGGGGTGGTTCTGTTATGGTGTGGGGAGGCATCACTGTTGCTGGAAGAACGACTTTACATGTTGTTGCAGGGCGTGTTACAGGCCAGTACTACCGGGACAACATCTTGGCAGTCCATGTTGTGCCGTTCGCACGACGTCATGGCCGCCGTTTCATCTTCCAGGATGACAACGCAAGATGTCACAGGGCCAGGATCGTTACAGGTTACCTCCAACAACAGAACATCACCACATTACCTTGGCCAGCACTGAGTCCCGACCTCTCCCCCATCGAGCATGTCTGGGACATGCTTGGACAGAGGTTACGTCAACGTCAACAACGTCCTGCCAATGTCCAAGAACTTGCTGCTGCGTTGCAACAGGAATGGGACAATCTGGACCAAAATGACCTTAGACGTCTCATTAGGAGTATGCCACGTCGGATCAATGCTTGTTTGGCAAACAGAGGAGGATTTACCCGTTACTGACTTGGTTGTGATGCTGTGGTAACTTTGCTGTTTGACCCCGGGTATCATTTTACCCTTATAATGGTCAGTCTGTGCCTTACTTAGTCTAACGATCATTTGGAATAAATCGTTGAATGTGAACTTCATTTCATTTTGTCATTTGTTTCTTCGTCAGTTTCATTAGGTGACTTTAATAACACTTAAAAATCAAATATCCCCTACTTTTTTTGAATAGTATATTTATACATTGTAATGAATCGAAATAAATAACCATATTGATCGACTGTTCCCGGGTCGTTTGCACAATTATTAATATGGATGTTTGGAAGGATAAGGTAGAGTCAAAACGGATGAGGAAGGGCTAAGGAGGTGAGGGGGAATTCGCAGAAGCAGGATGCAGTTAGAGGCTGGATGAAGAAGGGCGAAGGTGGCTGACAGGAAGGCGATGCAGGTTGAAGAAGGACATGTGATGTCACTTGGTTATTATACGTTGATTTATTTATACATTGTAATGGATTGAAATAAATAACCATATTGGTCGACTGTTCCTGGGTCGTTTACACAGTTATTAATATGGATGCTTGGGCGTATGAGGTAGAGTGAACACGGGTGAAGAAGGAGGTGAAAGGGGGTAGAGGAGCAGGATGTATTTAGAGGCTGGATGAAGAAGGACGAAGGTGACAGGCCGAAGTAAAGCGGTGCATGTTGAAGAAGGCCGAAGTGGACAGGATGAGGTTGCAATAGTTTGAAGCGGGATGAAGAAGGGCCAAGTGAGCAGGGTGACGATTGAAGTAGATCTAAGCGTAATGAAGAGGCGAAGCCGGCGAATGAGGTTGGAACAGAACGAAGGTCAAAGGGGACGATAGAGGTGGAAGAAGGAACAAGTTGGTAGGATGAAGAAGACCGAAGGGATCAAAAAGTAGGGTAAAGAAGGAGGAAGTAGGCAGGATGAAGGTTGCAATAGTTTGAAGCGGGATGACGAAGGGCTAAGTGGGCGAAGGAGGTTGAAGCAAAACGAAGAAGGTGAAAGGGGGCGAAAGAGGATAAAGACGGACCAAACTGGCGGGGAATGAAGAAGGAGGAAAGGGACATGAAGAAGGTCGAAGCATGATGAAGATTGATGAAGTGGTCGACGCAGAACGCACAAGGACGAAGGAGGTTGATGTAGGGTAAAGAAAGGGGGTGATGCGAAGCTATTAGTAAAATTCGTACATCGTTGGGAATCAATTTTTTAAATTGAACGACGAAAACACCGAATATGTTCTTTTTGGATCAAACAGCTTCGTGTCCAAACTTGATCAAGATGTGGGGGGTTGGATGGCCGAATGGTTAGCACGTACGCGCTGTATCATGAGGTCTGTCATTGAGTCAAATGGCATGATTTCCATTCCCCGGTTGTACGTGACAAGGTGTAAGGTCGCCGGTCCAACCTCGTGGGTTTTCTCCGGGTCCTCCGGTTTTCTCCCACTGCTAAAGACCCCTACGCCAAGCGAATTATTGAAATAAAATTGAACCACGTGTTAGTCCCGAAATGACCTAGTTTGTGTCGAGTGGACGTTGAACCCCATCTCTCTCTCTGGTCAAAATGTTTTACTCTTATTTAGTGAGCATGAAATAATACCCATATCTTCAACCTGTAACATTGGTGTTATCTTTGTCAACTGAGCAATATTAGTAAAATCAGTAAACGTTTGCAAGTTGAGTTCATCAAAACTGTATTTCCTTACTCATTGGATTACCATCTCGTCTTACTGATAAACTACAAAAGGTTCAAAACGCGGCAGCTCGACTCATTACCGGAAGTAAATATCATGATCATATCACACCTGTTTTAATCCCAACTTCACTGTATACTACTGTTTTTTAGAAATTCAATACAAGATCATTCTTTAAACTTTAAATGTTTTCATCATGTGGCACCGTTATATTTATCATTGTTCTATTGTCTGCAAAACACCAACCAAGACTGAAAACTGTCCGTGAATAATCGTTTACATTGCAAGTGTCAAAATTACGGAATATGCTCTCATTTTCCCCTCAGTAGTTATACCTCCTGATCGAGTTTTATAAAATCAGAATTGAGAACAGTTTTATTTAGACAAGCTTTTGATTTATAGATTTATGTTTATTCCTTTTATTTATACAACTTTATAGAGGTTTTTTTTAATATTTATTTGGCTGTCTATTTGAATTGTATGTTTTTATTTATACAACTTTATAGAGGTTTTTTTTAATATTTATTTGGCTGTCTATTTGAATTGTATGTTTTTATTTATACAACTTTATAGAGCTTTTCTTAAATTATTCTAGATTCTTAAATGTTTGTATTTTTATAGAGTTTTTTTTCATTTGTAACTATACTTTTTTTTCTATATTATGATACATTTTTAAAAGTATTTTATGTATATTGTACAGGGTATCTGAATAGATTTTTTGAAAGCGTGCGCTATATAAATGATTTTATGATAATAATATTAATAATCTGTCCATTTCTAGTAAGTATCCAGTCGTGCGTAAAACACTTGACTGGGGATTTGCTCAATAACATTTCTTTATAAACACCACGCTTGCGTTTTGTTATGAGTGAAATGAATGAATGAATGAATGAATGAAATGAATGAATGAATGAAATGCAATGAGGTTTCATATCCTACCTTTCTGCGCCGACTGGGCTAATGAAGACAGGCTTGTGTTTTGTGGGCGATGTTGGGTGTGTGCGTATTTTTTCTATTGTTCTCTGTCATTTATATATGTATTTATGTATCTAGTTCACCGTCTTCATTCTGTAGAATATGTATAATGACTTGTAATGAATAACGAGAATAATAAAAGCTTAAAAAACAAGATAATGAGTGTTAAACAGATTATGTTCTAAAAGAGGAACCCCATAGCTTTGTAGACATAGGCGTGTTGGATGGCCGAATAGGTAGCCCTAGCGCGTTGAATCATAAGGACTGTCATTGAGTCAGCTGGCGTGGTTTTGATACCCCGGTTGTACGTGACAAGGAGTAGGGTCGCCTGTCTAACCTCGTGGGTTTTCTCCGGGTTCTCTGGTTTCCTCCCAATGCTAAAGACCCCAACGCGTAAGCAAATTTCTTGAAATAAAATTGAACCATATATTAGTCCCGAAATGACTTAGTCTGTGTCGAGTGAACGATACCCCCCCCCCCTTCTCTCTCTCTCTCTCTCTCTCTCTCTCTCTCTCTCTCTCGCTCTCTCGTTTAGAGCTAGAAAGGGAAGGGACGATTCTAAAGCAACTGCGTCTTTTTGATATGTTACGGAGCTGAGACATTCACAACCTGAATTTGTTAGAGCCTAGTTCAGTGGCCAGAAAGGTGAAGAATTATAAAGTAACCACTACGGAGCTGAGAATTAACTACTTGGCTATAGGGTTCGAATCCCGACGTCGGCCGAGAAGAGACTTTTAGAGTTTTCAAGCCCTGTCCCATTTACCAAGGTTGACATGTAAAGTGTGTCTAGTCGTTCGAATGGGACGAACAAACGAGGTCCCGATTGCAAATTGCTATATAATGCACGTAAAATATCCCTTGACAGTTGGAATTGGAAGTCTAGTATGTGAAAACGGCGCTGTTCGGGCAAAATCTTCATCTCGCATTGCACGCGCTACAATAGAAATAAAAACAGGGAGTTAGTGGCTGAGTGGTTTAACGTGTTCGCACTAGACAACAAGGTCGGTCATTAAGTTCAATGGCGTGGTTTTGATTCCCCACCAGTACGAAACAAGGAGTAACCTCGTGGGTTTTCCCCGGGTCCTCCGGTTTCCTCCCACTGCTAAAGACCCCTACGCGCAAGCGAAGTATTGAAATAAAATAGAACTATATGTTAGTCCCAAAATGATCTAGTTTGTGTTGAGTGGATTTTAAACCCAATCTCTCTCGAGAAATAAAAAAAATACCATATTTTTGTCTCAAAATGACCAAAATATTGTGCTGACGCGACGGCCAAACCCCATTACATGCCTTTTGGATTTGTCTAACCTCGTGGGTTTTTTCTGGGACCTTCGGTTTCCGTTCACAGCTAAATACCCCTACTCACAAGTGAATTATTGAAATATAATTGTTCCGAAATGCGTTATTTTTTGTTGACTGGGTGTTAAACCCGAATTCTCTTTCCTTTTGGTGTGGTGCATTCTTCTGGGATAAAAATACAAACAAATCATTTAATTAAAAACGAATTTTATATAAATAAAATATACAATAGTTGATTCTCGTCAAATGTTTTAAAATATGTATAATAATAACTAAATAAATTATTTAGTACGTTTAAACAATTTGATTAAAATACCGATCTATATTTCGTTTCGTTTTTTTATACTTTCGATGGCCTACACTACATGAATATCTGACAAGTTGTACTCGAAGGTCATGTCGTGCGAGCGGCTTTTGACCCTATGAAGTCAGACATTGATTAATCAATCAGGGTTGACGTTTCTAAAGGTTTACCTACAGTACACCAAGAACTCGCCGTAACAAACCGTTTTATTGGCTTATCCCCCACATCAACTAAAACGCCGGTAATATAACAACTCTTCCAGATCCTAGTGTAGTAAAGACAAGTAAAATGAATTTTGAACTATAAAAAACGAAACGAAATCCGATCTGTGTTTTAATCAGATTGGTCTAACAAGCATGTTAAATATTCATGGAAACTATTAGCCCATTTTATCACTTTGTTAAAGGAGTACTCTAATATAAATAGAAAATGTTCGAGATTATAGGTATGTTAGTTTGCCATTATCTCCGGGTCCACGTAGTTTCTCTTTGGTCACTGGATGCGTCTTTATTGTTGTCCCCAGAACTTGATCCGAAATTAAGCCCTGCGTAGTTGCCTCGGTTACTGATACCTATATCAACGTCTTCCTCGGCGTCCTCGTCATGTGATCGCTTGCGTCGAGACAATAAATTCTCATCACCTAAAGCGTGATTAACGGTGTCCTCAAAAGACGTGACGTCATTAACCTGTAAGGCCATGACGTCAGCGAGAGAAGTCAAGCCCTGGTTGTATCTCTGAATCGCTTCTTCCTGCTCTAATTCAAATCGTAGTTCTTCTTCTCGGAATCTTTGTGCTGCCTCCAACCGTTCTTGTCGAAATCGCTGCATGGATTCAATAACCTCTTGTTGGTATTTGAGAACAGCTTCTCGTCGTTCCAGATCGTATCGTGATTGTATGACTTGGTAGTAATCTACTGGATTCGAAGAGCTTGACGTGGACGACGAAGAAGACGAATACTGCCTCTTCTGTCTGGACAATCGAGCTTGGTTTTCACACGTCACCAAGTTTAGTCCCAACACACACAATACTAAAACCTGAAAAAATAGCGTAAATTGATTACAAAAACATCTGTCATACGTTAATGCCACAAACAAATAAACCCCTGGAAGGCATCAGTGGGCGTGTTCCTGGACAAAGCTTTACGGTGATTCCTGTGACTTCATGAAACCAACATCATCTGTAAGCTGACGTTTTGGGGATGTTTCAATCATCCTTTTTAATGTTACACTGGTGCCAGTTCTAAAGATTTAAATTAGTATGTGGCGATGGGGTCAATTGAAAGGATATCACTTTGAAACGAACCAGGCAAGATCAAACTTTACCCAAAGCTAACATGATGATGGTATAAGGTATGATCTGCTAGAAATTGGATTCGGGTCGCTGTTGAGTACAATACAACATCTCAGATTAGACAAGCATTTAGTTTAGATGGCAGAGTAAAATCTGGACAAAGTTTATGAGATAACATTTCGTTAGTCTTCTAGTCAAATGCGTAGAAATGTGTAGCCATTTCCTCAAATGAAAAGATTACAAATAAAATAAAATAAAACCAAGTACGAACAATCCAAACCATTAGACAAAATTCGAAGTCCTAAAAAAAACGGTATAGGCAAAATAGTGTAATAAGGCAAAATAGTGTAATCAGCATATGGACTGTTCACCGTGTACAAAATACACGACAAACAGTGGTGGGCAGCGTCGGGTGTCATACGAACGACTTTTGACCTTATGACGTCAGACATTGATTAATCAATCAACGTTTACGTTTCTAGTGGTTTACCCACAGTTCCGTTCACCTCACGCCAGAAACTTGCCGTAACAGACCGTTTCATTGGCTAATCCCTCACATCATCCAGAACGCGGGTTATATAACAACTCTCCCAGATCCTAGCGCTGTAAAGACAAGTTAAGCGAAATTTTGAACTATAAAAATCGAAACGAAATAGGATCTGTGTTTTAATCAGTTTGTCTACGATATCACTTGTATGGACGAAGACGTTAAACGGTCAGAGTACTACTACTATTATGATGTCACTATTAAAGTGAGTGGTAAGCGTCCAAGGTACTTAATACTGCTTCCCAGGGTCAAACATCAACTGAAATGCACCAAATTAAAAGTTTAAAAGAAATCACAGACACAGAAAAGAACCATAAATATTTTTATTATTATTATTATTGATCCACAAGTATTACTTGATTTCTACATTTAGACATAAACCCTTACTAATATAGTAAACAATTATGACATTGATTTTATATTTTATATATTATACATGTGGAACCAGGAGTAGATGGATGATGGAAGGACACATGTTTTCTATCGGGTGTTAGTTCACTAGGGAAATCTTATTTATTTCTACCGTGGGTGAAACGTCAAATCACAGAGTAACATAGTTTTCTATCATGGAGTGTGGTGTGAATATGAATTAACGTGGACTTTCTCGTCTACAAGATTGCCAGAGTTTGTTATACTAAACAGAGCTTGTGTACATCTATCTACTCGAGGTGTCACCAGAAGAGAATAACTTCACAAGATAAATAAAACTAGAAAGCAATTTAACATAATAACCATAGTAAGATAATACCGTGGCCGAAATACAAAGAAATTATAATTCAAAGTACGAAATGTCTGCCCTAATTGAAAGTAGCATAACATGAATAGGAACAAATGTAATCTTAGAAAACAAGCGAAGCGTAAATATAAAGCAATTATAATTCAAAGTACGAAATGTCTGTCCTATTTGAAAGTAGCATTACGTGTATAGAAAAACATTGCAATCTTAGAAAACAAGCGAAGCCTAAATACAAAGTGCAATATTAGGAATTATCATAGTAGAAATATTATAAACATTTTAAAAAGTTGGAGCGGACCTCTTCTGAAAGAGACTATCGACCGTATCCACCATATGCTTGTTGGTTGGCAGCAGCCGGATCACCACCGTAGCCCCCCTGATATGCACCTCCTCCGTACCCTGCCTGATATCCCCCACCGCCATACCCACCGCCATAGCCGCCATCAGCAACAGCGCCATATCCGGCGTTGCCATAACCACCACCGTAACCTCCTCCATATCCACCATCGGCGACAGCGCCATACCCACCAGCACCATAAGCCTGTCTCTTCCGTCTAACGAGATCATCATCGTCGTCATCATCATCCATAGCATTTCGTCTTACGCGGGTATTACCATTAGCGGCATCATATTTGGCTTGTTCGTACTGGCGTTCAGCTTCTGCCATCTCTTGTTCGTTTTGGTAAAGGTCCTGTTGGTAGCGCTGGGCGGCATCGACTTTATTTTGTTGATATCTGTTTGCCGCCTCTTGATGATCTAAGTCGTATTGTTGATATCCGCCGCTACTACCCCCATAAGCGCTACTACCTCCATAACCGCTGCTACTTCCATAACCGCCACTACTCCCATATGCGCTGCCACCTCCATAACCGCTGCTACCGTAGCTTCCATACTGCCTCTTCTGTCGAGAAAGTTCTCGGTCATCGTCTGTGGAGGCGCTGTGATCTTCAGCTAGTACTACAGCACATACCAGAAAGCATACGGAGACCTACAAAAATTACGTCATTTATTGATCTAGCTAAATATAGAGAGGGACATTGAGTTTAACGTCCACTCGACACAAATTATACCATTTCGGTACTAGCATGTGGTACAATTTTATTTCAATAATTCGCTAGCGCGTAGGGGTCTCAGGAAGTGGGGGGGGGGGGCACTAAGGGGGGGGGGGGGGGGGCAGAGAAAACCAACATTGTAAGCAGGCTACCCAACTTCATGACTCACCTCTTGATCTAAAGCACATCCGTTAGAGAATTCGGCCACACAACCCCCGGATCTAAATAGAGGGAGAAATGGGGTTTAACGTCCACTCGACACAAACTACACAAACTAGGTCATTTCGGGACTAACATAAGGTTCAATTTTATTGCAATCATTCGCTTGCGCGTAGGGGTCTTTAGCAGTGGGAGGGGGCCAGAGGACCAGGGTAAAGCCACAAGGTTGGACAGGCGACCCTACTTCTTATCACGTACAAGCGGGGAATCGAAATCACGCCGCTTAACTCAATGACAGACCTTATGATTCAACGCGCACGCCTTAACCAGTCGCCGCCCGATCTAAATAGAAGTGATATACACTAATATGCAAATCTACTTATAGTGGGGGGGGGCATTGTGGCGCTGGTTTACATTAACCGGGTTCGATCCCGGTGCTGGCCGAGAAAGTTCCTCAAGGTGTTTTCTTCGTGATTATAAACAGGTCCAGGCCGAAAGGCCTTGTTAACAAAGGGCTTCTAATCGTTCGAATGGTTCAGAAATCTTCTGTCCGTTGTCTGGGCAGAGTATATATCCCGCGTGCCACATCTACATTAGTTTCGCAATATCGACGTAGAAAACTCTTGCCAGCGATAAATGGCCATCCCGTAATTATCACAAATTAAATCGTTTAGATTTTAAAGTAAACTCGATAATAAAAAAAGGCATGCGTATATTGTAAATAAAAACCTACCCTTTGTGCAAATTAAACTTTCCAAGAAATAGTCCACGACTGCGCATGCCGATATAAACCGCATTGGTTTGTCATCGCTGAATATCAGCCATATCGCCCCGAAACCTTTCGATTTGCCGATATATAGGATGAATTTCGTCGTCCAACAGAAGAATTCGCTATCGGCCATTTAAATACCGGATACCTATAAATACAATATTCGAATAATCGGTGTTCGCAGTACTTACTGTTATAGTCCTCATATTTAGAAACCGTCTTCTTGTCAACTGTAAAGCTCGGTCTGTAGAACTCATAGCTTTACTGCGCGTTTTATCTGGTTTTATATCATTCACAAACAAAGCATCGAGCTGGAGATAATAGACAGCCCAGTCGGAGCAGAAAAGTAGGACGTGAAACCCCATTCCATTTCATTTTGTTGATAATAGACTACAACCAGTGGTTATTGTTGAATTACTTCTACAAAACTATTTTGCTATGTTTGGGTGTGCCTAATTTAAAGGGTCGTATTCTTATTGTAGCTTTAGATCTTAAGCTCAGTCTGGCTTGATTAAATAAGATTTGGTGTCACGATATTACCCTCACGGCTTTGCAGTGGTACCGATTCCGTTGAATATTAAGAGTAAGGGAGAGAGAGAGAGAGAGAGAGAGAGGGAGGGAGAGGGGTAGGTCAATTCGGGACTGACATATGATTCATTTTTCAATTCAATAATTCTCTTGCGCGTAGTGGTCTTTAGCATGCAGTGGGAGGAAACCGAAGGCCCCGGAGAAAACCCACGAGGTTGGACAGGCGATCCTACATACAACCGGGCGGGGAATCGAAACCGCGCCAGTTGACTCAATAACAGACCATTCGGCCATCCAACACCCACCCTCACCCTGTTGAATATTGCGCCATTAACATAATCTATAATCAATTTGAGATGGTACTTATAAAAGACAAAGGATGGTTTATATTTGTTCTATGCCCCATTAAACCATACACCTTCTTGGTTCCGTCTAAAGATGTTGATTTATTTTCTAATTTAAAACTGTTTTTATTTTAGGAGATGTTCCACGCCCGCTTCACAGTCTCCAGGACAATGAAACAAGAATCACGTACTGTTACTCAACAAGTTGCTTTTGTGTTACTAAATTTGGTAATTCTTAGAAAATGAAAAACAAAGAGAAAACAGCATTTAATAAAAGAAATGACTTCCTGGTTTTTGCCGATTATATAGTTTATTATAGTATATTCCTATTGTGAATTCTGCGTCAACGACAATGGAAATATCAACCCAGTACACTTGACAAATTATAACACTTTTTTTTATTTATTTTTTTTAATAACACCTCGGGATAAAACATTAACCAGTCACACAGACCATATTAAGAAGATATAGCCCGGGTTTCCGAAACAGTGGAAGAAATAGTTTTAAAAATTTGTTCCAAAATGAAACAAAAAATCTTAGAAGAAGAATTGACGCTTTTTGAGGTCTTTGTCGATTGGTAAATAAGAGAGCCTTTTTTTTTTTTTTTTAATAAAATGTGATTTGACTATAGCAGTTACGTCCAGGATTTTCAAATTCACATTCTCAACAATATTAAGATAAATTGTTCACCATGGCCCAGTAAAATATTTTCATTTTTTAATTAACAAGTCTATTTTCATTTTTAAATGGTTTTCTAGAAGTTAAATGAACGCTTACGAAAATAAATCCATTGCTATGAGCGGGTGAACTATGTTGGGATTTTCAATACTTCGGTGGGTGTGGGTTATTTTGAACATTTTCGTGAAGAGAGAGTAATGGTGCCTCTTCTAAATATTCAAATAAAGTTATGAATGGTATTCTTAAAGTGAACTGATCAACAGTGACTATTCGCCTGACCGCTACTACCACTGATAACGATGACATCGGGGCAAGTTAATTGACTCACAATTTTAACTTTTTTTCTTCTGCAAATTGACATTCTAAAATATTTGTTTCAATTATTAAGAAAAATAATAAAGGCGTTGAAAGTAGATCTGGATAAGAGATATTGTCGCGTTAATTAGCTCTCAATTTTAAGTTTTTTCACGGTGGCTCGGTGGGTGAGACGTTGGCTCGCTAACTTGGGGATCCCGTGTTCGATCCCCGCCTTGGCCGTGAAAGTTCAGTCGGATTTTCCGACGTGGTTTCCCCTTGTCAGTGGTGCAGGACAGAGGGCCTGACAAGGACAGTTGTCTAGTCGTTCGGATGATACGAAACACCGAGGTCCTATGTACACATTGGCGTGCACGTAAAAGATCCCTTGACAGTTGGAATTCGATATAAGAGTAGGCCATAGCGCCGGTGCCCGGGCAAAATTTTCCTCATAGCACACTGTATGGCGTATGCCCGTCTTCATTAGCCCATTCGGAGCAGAACAGTGGGACGTTAAACCCCATTTCATTTCAGCTCGCAATATTAGCTTTTTTCTTCTGCAAATTAAATTCTATTATATCTTTTTAAAGTTATTAAGAAAAAAAACAACAAATAAATATGTTGGGAGTATATCTGGATAATGGATATTTTCGAGTTAATTAGCTCTCAATATTCTGCAAATTAAATTCTAAAATATGTCTTTAAATTATTAGAAATGAAATGAAATGAAAAGGGGTTTAACGTCCTACTGTTCTGCTCCTAACCTGGGCTACTGAAGACGGGCATACGCCATACAGTGTGCTATTTGGGAAATTTGACCGGGCAGCGGCGCTACGGCCTACTCTTATATCGAATTCCAACTGTCAAGGGATCTTTTACGTGCACGCCAATGTGTACACGGGACCTCGGTTTTTCGTCCCATCCGAACGACTATACAGCTGTCCTTGTCAGGCCATCCGTCCTGCATCACTGACAAGGGGAAACCACGCCGGAAAATCGGGATGAACTTTCTCGGCCAATGCAGGGATCGAACACCCGACCTCCAGGCTTGAATTATTATGAAAACAAATGAAGGTGTCTGGATATAATTCAAGTTAGAAACGGTAACGATGCACATGACTCAACTGATAGTTTTACTTCATCCTGGAATTATCAAGTATACTGTACAAATTTGGGAAACTGTTGTTTTTTTGTCATTGTTGATTAAGGGGGTTAGATGGCCGAATGGTTAGCACGCGCGCGCTGTATCATACGGTCGGTCATTGAGTCAACTGGCGGGGTTTCGATTCCCCGGTTGTACGTGACAAGGAGTAGGATCGCCTGTCCAAGCTCGTGGGTTTTATACGGGTCCTCCAATTTCCTCCCACTGCTAAAGACCCCTACGCGCAAGCGAATTATTGAAATAAAATTAAACCATATGTTAGTCCCGAAATGACCTAGTTTGTGTCGAGTGGATGTTAAACCCCATTTCTCACTCTCATTTTAATAAGGGGGCACGGTGGCTAAGTGGGTAAGACGCTGGCTTGCTAGCCTGGAGGTCGGGTGTTCGATCCTTGCATTGGCCGAGAAAGTTCACCCATATTTTCCGGCGTGGTCCCCCCCCATGTCAGTGATGCAGGACGGAGGGCCTGACAAGGACAGCTGTCTAGTCATTTGGATGAGACAAAAAACGAGGTCCCGTGTACACATTGGCGTGCATGTAAAAGATCCCTTGACAGTTGGAATTCGATATAAGAGTAGGCCGTAGTGCCGCTGTCCGGGCAAAATTTCTCTAATAGCACACTGTATGGCGTATGCCCGTCTTCATTAGCCCTGTTCGGAGCAAAATAGTAGGACGTTAAACTCCATTTCATTTCATTTCATTTCATTTCATTTCAACTTCAAATAATAAAAATACGGGTGGTTTTTTTTTGTTTTTTTTTAAATAATAAGCGGGGTTTTTTTTGGTGTCTGTGTGTTTTGTGTGTGATGTCCGCGGGTTTGTCTTGTGGTTTTCTGTTTGTGCGGTGCGACTCTCCTTTACTTACTACAGGCATACAATTAATAAGAAACCATGTTGTGCTAGGAAATACGTTTTAAACGGTTTCAACTTAAAGCGTGAATCACAAGTTCATAAACCATATAAGTGTGCATAAAACTATTGTCTTTTAGAATGACCGGTTAATCCCCACCATTGTAAGCAATATAATGTACACGTGCAAAAACCATTGTGTTTTGCAAAGAGTGGATAATAGATGGGTTAAGTGGTATTTAGTAACTGAATGAGAATGACACGTGATACAATTATATAGACTACAAGCTACCTTTATTTCTGGAGACGTTTCGGCGATCGGTGATCTCTCGTCTTTATTAAGCAAAGAATAAACTTTTAATAACTTGTATTCCATATAATTGTGTAGTGTATAATAGGCCTACTCGACATCCTTGTACAATACAAACCTAGTGAGTCAACTCAGTAAATGTTTTATTCATTGTTATCCGGTTGTATTATTCATCTTTGTACTTATAAAAAAAATAAAATATAAAAGTGGTCTGATCCTATATTTGGAAAAGAGTTGCTTCCCTTGAAAGATTTCTTGTTCTAGAGTTAAAAATTGGTCAGCGTGAGAATTTTATGAGAATGTAATGAACACTGAATCATGTTTCGAAAAACTCACAAAACATGCAAGAGATATGCCAGAAAAATGTTTCTAATTTGACACAACACCTTCGATGACGATTTTCAGACGCTTCTTTATGCATGAATCTTAAACAAAATGCCGCTTTTGTCCAACATTGTCAAAGGGATTGAAGTGACTTTTCCGCTGTCATTTCTCCGAAATCTTGTTTTAAAAGATGTCGATTCCAAAACTGAAATCGTTGAAAGATACAACGCTGAGACCAATAATAATAAATGTATTTTAGACGTTAAGAGGTCCGATATTCTGGACAGTGAAGTCAGTTTAACTTTCATCTTGGATTTCCTTCAATCCCGACAGAAATTGAACAGGGGACAGTTGAAATGCTCCGTGACAAATTTATCCGAAGCTTTGCCATCAGCTGATGTTGAGACAAATTTAGGCATCATTAATGATGAACCAAACGAAACTGTTCAAAAAGATGCTAACAATGATTCTGAGAAGTTGACTGACAGAATACCAAGAAAACGTGGAAGACCAAAGGGAAGCACAAAATCTGTAATCAATAAAGAAATTCCTCCAACAGACACAGATCTGCTGTCAGCAAACAATGATTCGTCTAAGAGTAATTATAGATTACGTGGGGTAAAGCTCTCGTCGAAAATCATGAAACTGGAGAAAAGCTCGTTTGATGAAGAAGAAGAAGATGAATTGAGTGATGGACAAGATGTGGATACGACTCCGAATTCAGATAATAAATCTTTCCAAAGCGTCAACGATAATCTCTTCGGAAAGGAAAATCTGGACCAAAATTCTTCTAATTCTAACGATATAAAACCAGGTCAAATGGATGACGCAAATGCACATGAAATTTCAAAATTAAATTCATTAAAAGAAAAGGCAGATCAAACTAGGGTAGTTAAACATTTGATAAAAACAAAGAGGGTTTTAAGAACAGATAGTGAAAACGATGGCATTTCTGAGCTTGCTGGCAAGACGCAAACATTGATAAGGGCAAATTTAAAGCAAAAGATGTATGCTTGCGTAATATGTGACAATAAATTATTTCCCACAAGGCATGAATTAAAAACACACGAATTAAATGATCACAAGAATCTAACTTGCTCTAAATGTGATAACAAAGTTTATAAACACATTCATTCGTTAAAAAGTCATTGCATCTGGATTCATGGTAAAAATTCTAACAGTAAAAAACATTTGTGCCACCTTTGTTCATCCAGATTTAAATTTGCCAACAGTTTGAAGCAGCACATTGAGGAAATACACGAGGGAATTTCAAACCTGAAGTGCAAAGTTTGTGGTAAATCATTTTATAAACTATCTCAGTTACGGAGACATGAAAAAATTCACGGTGATGCTAAAACAAAACTGAGGTGTGAAAAATGTGGGCAGGGCTTTTGGCATGAATCGAATCGCCAGCGCCATATTAGGCTCATTCACATGAAACCTCATATTGAAAAATTCCATTGTCCATACTGCGGGAAAGGATTTACCCACAAAGCCGGAATGATCTCTCACATCAAATTGATTCACATGAATTTATTGAATTTTCGATGTTCCGAGTGCTCTGTCGTATTTGCACGATCAAAGTTATTGGTGGATCATATGGTGCATATCCATAATGTAAAGGACTTCAAGGTTTTAGAGTCTCGTCCCACACGCTATAAATACAACCGTACCCCTGACGATCTGCTGCAGTGCTCCAAATGTTCGCAATCGTTTTGTTACAAAGCAGAATTAATAGAGCACATGCACACGGCTCATGCAGATTCATTTTCCTTTGTGTGCGTCGAGTGCAAACAGGGCTTCATGCAACAACATTTCTTAAATAGACATAGAAAAATTGCCCATAATGCAACTTTAACGCAAGAAGAGGAAGAAGAATTAGAAACCTCGGAAATGCACAATGCAGCAGCGGACATATCTGAAGAATTAATCACAATACAAAATAACGGAACGCCCGAAGATGCCTTTTCTTTTGTTGGATCGAAGAGCAATATCAGATATGTCGTACAAAATGATACAAATTTATCTTACGATACTTCAAATGTATCGTTCATCACGGCTGATAACGGAAACATTGCCTATCTTACCAGTGAAAACGATGGCGAGGTGACGTTTTTGAAGACTGAAAATGTGGAATCAGAGGTGATGTATTCATCCAGTGAGTCTGGTAATGTGACATATGTAACCAACGTAGAATATGAAAACCTGGAAGAAGTTGAAACTTCTTTGAATCTTGATGCAAATGTAGAAATGTCCGAGACATCATCAGGAAAAGAGATGATTGGAGAGCGCCTGGTGTTCCAGGTCGAGGATGGCGACAATACGGTCAGCTACGTTATTCAGCAATCAAAAGATGGAGAAACACAAGACATAGCCACCGAAGACATCGCAGAATTATTATTGGCGGCAAAACGTTCTGGAACTATTTCTTCCAAACATTGCGATCGGATGCTTTCGAATTACACTAGTGTTATGACTCATGATGAAAGCAAAACTGATGAAAACATTGACGATTCATAGCTACATCGTGTACTTTTGTTGGTGAAGATATATGATCAGAGTAAAATATTTCTGTCGGTCGGTCGGTTGGTGTTAAATAGGTCAGGTATACCTACATACACTTGTCAACTTGTGGGTGTTCCTAGTACTTGATGGAGAACAGTACCACGCATAAAAAACCCAGAAACAAATGATGACAAACCTGTGGACAAGACAGACAACAAACATATCAAGTACGGTAATATGATTATCAAGTGAATATATCCATAGGGCTGTACAAGTATTGACTATCAATATATTTCGAACTATAATAATGCAGTGATGTGTTGTGAATGATTTTTAGATCAGTTTTTGGAAAGAGAGAATGGTACAAGTTTTACAAAGTAACAATGAGCTATATTAATATATTATTTATTTATTATGAAATGGGAATAAATTTAAATTGTTGGTAGTGTTAATAGTTTACTGCATTTTTACATTATGCTTTATTTTGTGTTTAGGCCTAACCCTACACAGAACTCCAGCCCATGTAGGCCTATCCTTACACAGAACTCCAGCCTACATGTATGCCTCCTCTAGCTCTTGACAAGACTCCAGCCTATGTAGGCCTAAGTCTAGATTGAAATCCGGCCTACATGTATGTCTCCTCTAGCCATTGACAAGACTCCAGCCTGTATGCCTCTAGCCCTCAAGCCCATGTACATGTGTGTAGGCTTAAGTCTAGAATGGTATCCAGCCTACATGTACGTTGTATGCACTAGACAGGACTCCATCTATATAAAGATTGATTCGTTATTATCATTGGTTTTTGTCCAGTTTTCATTGACTGAATCGAGGGAGTAGAAATCAAACCTTCATCCGAATCGCCCACGACGATTGACATTTCAAACAAATGACTTATTGACATGAAAACAGACTATTTTCCTCAGTAACCATGTGCAATCATAGCAACATTGTCTGGTGTTCTATCAGTAGGCCTAATACAATATTAACAACAGAAATGAAATGAAATGGGGTTTAGCGTCCTACTGTTTTGCTCCGAACTGGGCTAATGAAGACGAAATTTTGCCCGGACAGCGGCACTACGGCCTACTCTTATATCGAATTCCAACTGTCAAGGGATCTTTTGCGTGCACGCCAATGTGTACACAGGACCTCAGTTTTTTGTCTCATCCGAATGACTAGACAGCTGTCCTTGTCAGGCCCTCCTTCCTGCATCACTGACAAGGGGGAGCCACGCCAGAAAATCTGGGTGAACTTTCTCGGCCAATGCAGGGATCGAACACCCGACCTCCAGGCTAGTGAGCCAGCGTCTTAACCACTTAGCCACCGTGAACCCCTATTAACAACAGGGTCTAGTGTTCTATCAGTAGGCCTAATACAATAAAAAAACTGTCTGGTGTTCTATCAGTGGGCCTAATACAATAACAACAAATAACAACAGTCTCTGGTGTTCTATCAGTAGGATTTTGACAATAAAAACCTACCACTGCATAGAACGTGAATTGAAATGAAATTAAGCTTTATGGCACATCAGCTCCAACCGGGCTACATGTATGACACCAAACATTAGTAATATATGTACGAAAATATAAACAAGTATCACAGATAATACATAGAATTAAAAATAAATACAAGTCCTTTATAAATAGTTTAAATCAAAAATACAGGTTACATTATATTCAATTAAAATTTATAACAGCAAATAATGAGGTAGTGGAGCGCAGTGATAATAATTTGATCTTATAATATGTTCATGATATGATTGCACTCAATCAAAATGTGCTTAACTGTCAAAGGAACTTGGCAGTGCTCGCATTCTGGTTGAGAGAGAAAAAAGGAGTTTAATGTCCACTTGACACAAACTAATAAGTCATTTCGGGACTAACATATGTTTCAATTTTATTTCAATAATTCGCGTGCGCGTAGGGGTCTTTAGCAGCGGGAGGACACCAGAGGACCTGGAGAAAACCCACGAAGGTTGGACAGGCGACCCCACTGCTTGTCACGTACAACCGGGAAATCGAAACCACGCCAGTTGACTCAATGACAGACCTTATGATGGGCTACAATGCTCACGCGTGAACCATTCCACCATCCAACCCCCTGCTTTAAGATGAAACTATGGGTTTATAAAGTATGACCAATATTACGAGGGTGACATGTGACATGCTAAAGCCAATTTGCAGAATATAAGTGAACCAAGGTATATGTGACATTTGTTAACCCTTGTCGGTGCATGTGGGGTCTCCTCGGACCCCATGCACATGTTTTATAGTGTTTTGTTATTACTGGGCACTGCTTTCTGAAATTTAGTGACTTTGTCTCCTATACATTTTTACACGTAGCGAAGAGTTCGGTATTCATATGCTTCTCACATGCAGAGTTCTGTTACATGCAAATCAGGCCCAAAGCTTGAAGTGAACAAGGGGTCCAATCGGACCCCTAACTTTCAACTCACAGTAGTGATTTTGCTAATGTATTTGCTGCCTAATACCATATTGCGTATGCCAGAGTATTCTCTCTTTTAACATCTGCATGTTACAAATACCAAAAATTAAATGATGAATTCCAAATATTCAATGATTTGTGTATCAAGCGTGAATTGCCATTTAACCTCTTTATCACATAGTACACAAAGTAGCAATTTTGTGAGAATTATTAAATCTTTTTCAAATGTCACTTAAATGTTTTTGTATAATAATTTAGTTGTTTTTCAGTTGTCAAATATGAATGCAAATAAAAACTAAACGGCTGTCTTTTTATTCAGATATATCTGTACGTAAAAATTTTGAATTATAACTGGGGTTCATATGAACCCCTTGATACCTGATATGTGATTCTCACAACGTGCACCGACAAGGGTTAAGCAAGGTGATTCAAATAAAACTAGATTATATCAGGACTGACACCAAACATGTAGGCCTAGCCTATTGGTACATGTTTATTTAGAGAGCCATGGGAAGAAACCTGAGGACCCTCAAAAAACCAAGCCACTTGAAAATAACTGAATGACGGACTTTATGATCAAACCAGAGCTTATATTTCAGTCATTTAAAATCAAGTTGAATATAAATAAAATAGCATTTGTCATTTTAATATTATAAGGGAGGGAACTCTATTTAAAGGTTTTTGATTTTCGTTCCGCAAAATACAGAATTAACAATCCACAATTTTGATAGTTTTACCATAAATGGGTCGTTTTTACGACAAATGAAGCTTCACGAAATTCAATTTCGTTTTAAAATATTACGCGGAGAATTAAATATTTGTATCATGTCCGATATATTTTCTTTGCTACAGATTTTCTTAACAATTTCAAAGAATACTGGGACATAAAACATCGATTTAAATAAATAAGAAAACCACATCTATTTACGACATCTGCTAACACGTACTTGTGAATATAGGGCCTATTTAGAAAATTCTTGTACATCAATAAACAATAATTTCTTTTGAAATAACTATTAGACAGCCGGTTGCGATGTTTGTGGAGTTAATGGGAATTTATTGAGATTTTATTTTTCTCTTCAGTTATAGGATGCGATTTATTTATTTTTTTTTTGTTTATATTTTTTCTTGTGTCAATATTGTGGATAGTAAGACGACGTTAGGAACGTTTAATAGTTTTACAGCACAAGTTGAAGGGGGACAATATATCTCTTCCTTTTGTTTCCATGGTGAGATTATAAAACATTAATTATCAGTGATTCAGTCTATTTCCAAACATCTTTTAAAGGCTTTATTACAGCTAAAATTAGGCCTACTGTTAAATCAAAAGTCAAACCCAACCCACCTATCTTAAATACCTAGTCGTTCGGATGGTACAAAAAAAAAGGGCTCCTGTGTAGACATTCGCGTGCACGTAAGACGGCTGTCATGAAATTTTGGACCATGTCAATCATTAAAGAAATTTATAAGAATTTAAATTGATTTCAATGTTTACATATGTCTTATTCATTATTGTATTTCAGGTTTTTTATTTATTTGTCTATACCATTTCTGTACCATATTTTTTAACGTGAGTGTGAGCACTTAGTTGTGCGGTATAAATGTACAAACAATAAAGTGATATGAAGCATGCTTGGACAAAATACCAAGAATGCAATGCACCTATACAACAATTAACTTTGTTGTTTTTTTAGATAAAGGAGCAGTGGTGACTCAGTGAGTAAGATGTTGGCTCGCTAACCTGGACGTCCCGTGTTCGAGTCTGGTCTTGGCCGTGAAAGTTCATCAGGATTTTCTGGTGATGCAGGATAGATAGGGCCAGGGCCTGGCAAGGGACAACATATAGTCATTCAGATGGGATGATAAACTGAGGTCCCTTGTACAGGTTGCCATGCACGTAAAAGATCCCTAGGCAGTTGGAATTTGATACAAGAGTAGGCCGTAGTGCCGCTGTCCTGGCAAGATATCCCTCAGAGCTTGTCTTCATTGGCCCTGTCGGAGCAGAACAGTAGGATGTTAAACCACATTTCTTTTCATTTTTTAGATATACGGTACATGTATGTAAGGTGTAATAATTATTTGTTACAGGTGATGCAGTTCTACGTTATAGTTTAAATACTACAGGTAACACACCTGTTTATATTTACCTGTACCTTAACGAAGATTGGCGAGATGCTAGACAAGATGATAATTGTTTACGTCAACTTAATAAAGCAAGACTTGTTTGTATGTTATCTTTTCATTGTTTTCAAATTGATTTTTAGGTGCGTTGTTTAATATTTTAAAACTTTAACTATTTTTGTTTGTATAAACAATATTTTATTATCAGAAAAGGATTGAGAAACAGACTAGGCCTATATTACCTCTCTCCTAAAACTTTAACTATAAACATAGCAGGCTTGTAAATCCCTGAAAGAGTGCCTTTAGCTAGCAGCTAGGTATATTGTCTAGTTGTTCGGATGGTACACTTGTTGTAACGTACCTGTATTTTAAACAAAGGTAAAAAGTAATGTGATACATGTACCTGTGTAATATTAAATTGTATTATTCAGATCACCTGAATGCCACGAAGGGAAATTTAAGTGTATCTCACTTTGTGAAACCACGTATATGGCATGTTGTTTACAGTGATGCGTATACCTGTGATGTAGACAGACCACGATCTCCGCTAGAACAACCAAACTATGTCCAGTATAACATCTCTTTCTTTAATCCGGATTCTCTCGGCAATCCTACAGAACATTTCGGTGATGATGAAACAGGTAGGAAGATATTGTATTATGTTGGATTGTCCAATAGAAATTGATAATCAGTTGTATTTACTGTAGCTGCTTCTTAAAAAAAATACTTTTTATATCCAATGTCCGCTCCATAGAGGGGGTCTGGTGGACGAATGGTCAGCTCATGCGCGTTGGATCAGAAGCTCTGTCATTGAGTCATCGATTCCCCGGTTGTACGTGACAAGGCATTAGGTTTCCTGTCCAACCTCCGGTTTCCTCCCACATGCAAGCGATTTTATTGAAATAAAAATGATCTAGTCTGTGTCAAGTGGACCTCTCTCTCTCTCTCTCTCTCTCTTTCTCTCTCTCTCTCTCTTTTACAGGATTATTATTATGTTCTATTATTTGTGTGTTTTACAGGATTGTTGAGATTCTATCAGCTGTTAACGTTGGGATATTTTGTATTAGCGTGTATATTTGCACCAAGATTGTACCAGACACTAAGTAAAGGCGGCCCGATGCAGCTTGTTATACAACTTCTCACTACCTCTGTATGTTTACAATCTGTTGGTGGATTTCTAATGATGCTTCATTTACGTAGGTTTGTGCCAATTTCCAGACATTTACAATACTAAACATTTACAATGGTTTGTTGCAAGCCAATACACAACATTTACCCTGGTTTGTACCAAGCCAATTAAACAACAGTTTGTAATTAGGGAACTGAGCAGGTCTTTTGCATGTGCAATTGAAGACCCTGGACCCGGCCGGGCAGGGTTTTTTTTGTCCATCATACAAAAATGTCAAAATTCTGGACCAACCTGTACGATAAAACCTGCATCTTTACGAATATAGACTATATTTGAAATTAAAATGAACTGACGACCCCTGCGTGCGTATAGTAAGCGCAGGAGAACCACACTACACACAAACAAACCATGTAGACATGACAAACAACACGGCCCATTGTAAGCAATGAACAAAACCTGTATCGATATATATCAACTTTTAAAGTGAATAGATCCAGGGGCCAGCAGTAAGCATCCACTGTGCTATGTGAACTCAACTGTGCTGTACATTATTTAAGAAATGATCTAGTTGAGTTTCTGTTGACGATTTATATTTATTTGTTTATTTCAGTTATTCTAAAGATGGTATGGGATCACCCTTTAAAGAACTTCTATCAGAATGTGAGTATTTCATCTTTTATGTACGCTAATGTGTACACGGGTCACAGGACCTTGTTTTTTTTTCGTCCTTTGCTTTGAACTCCTCAGTTAAATTATACAATGTCCTACTATCTGTATTGATGTGGTTGTGAATATTGAACAACAGTTATATATATACTCAGCCAAATTAAAAACTTGACACTGATGAATTTCAACAAATTTTTTTTTCTGGTAAGTCAAATATATTTTTAAAGTGTTTCTAATGATAGTAAGTAGTAAGAAGCCTTTAATTTCATAAAATTGTAAAGTCACGTGGATCACGTGACTTTTGAGCATATAAAGATGAAAAACCTGAAAAACACGTGCAAACAAAAGCTTGTGAGGTCAATCTATGCAAGTTTGCTTAAGCTGAACACGCACACGTAACTTGAACTGGAAAAACGTGAATCCACCACTGACGTTGCAGGACCTTCAACATGCTCTTGCTGAGCAGTGGCGACGTCTTCCTCGGGTAGTGTTTACTAATGTTCTGAGATCCATGAGAAGACGTTGTGTGGCAGTACAAGACGCTAGAGGAGGCCACAACCGTTACTAAACACTTTATTCCGATTGTTCTCCAAGTCTGTGAATTTCATTTTGGGGGGTACTGTGACATCACGAACGTTATCAATGTCAAGGACTTTCGGCGAGACGTATTCTTGCTTTCTGTTGATGTCAAGGTCGTCTGTGCCCAACATAACACTAAAATAGTTGTCTTAAACCAAATATTAAAAATCTAGTCCCCAAAATCCAGAGTGTCAAGTTTTTAATTTGGCTGATTATAGATTTAATAGAAATACAAACACCACAGGTTATACGGTTTATTTTACCAACAGAATTGACCAATAAAACAGTAGCCTAAAAATTGTTATGAATTATGGCAGTGATTTATATATGCCCTTATAATTTTGCTTACAATCTGATTAAAACACAGATCCTATTTCGTTTAGTTCAAAATTTCGTTTTACTTGTCTTTACTACTGGAAGAGTTGTAATATAACCCATCAATCTCGTGGCTTTTTCTCTGGGTCCTCCGCTTTCCTCCCACTGCTAAAGACCCCTACGCACAAGCAAATTATTAAAATAAAATTGAACCATATGTTAGTCCCAAAATGACCTAGTTTGTGTCGAGTTATATAACACACTACAACCGGTCAGATTTTCATGTAGTAGAGGCCATCAAAAGTATAAAAGAACGAACTGAATGGTTAATCCTTTAGTGGCATTTAGCAATTGGAAACATAACAAAACTATACAGTTATATGGGACAACAATCACTGGTTTATTATACACAAGCATGACGTTTCGATAAGTATTCTCTTATCGTTATCAAGCACAATCCGTTGTGCTTGATAACGATAAGAGAATACTTATCGAAACGTCGTGCTTGTGTATAATAAACCAGTGATTGTTGTCCCATATAACTGTATAGTTTTGAATGGTTAACGCATGCACATTGGATCAGAAGGTCTGACATTGAATCCAGTGGCGTGGTTTCGATTCCCCGCTAGTACGTGACAAGGAGTAGGGTTGCCTGACCAACCTAGTGGGTTTTCTCTGGGTCCTCCCACTGCTAAAGACCTCACTCGCAAGTGATTTAATGAAATAAAACTGAACCATATGTTAGTCCTGAAATGACCAAGTTTGTGTCGAATGGACGTTAAACCCCATTTCTCTCCCAAGAGAATTATTGGCTTGCCCATGTGAATAAATGCCTAAATAATGATTTATTTAACATTTGAAGCCAGAAAAGCTCTAACATAATGTATCTTTGAGGGAATCTCAAATTTGTCTTGTGTAATAGGATTAGTTAAAATGATCATTCTGATATTTATGAATTATATTTTTCAGTATTTGATGTTTTATCGCAGTTTGCCATGTTATATATGTTGTTGAGTTTGTCGTTAGGATGGACGTTGGCCAGCGCACATTGTCGTTATACCCATCTTTCCGTTATTAGTAAAAAACCTGCTGCGAAAGTTGTTGGAGTTCTGGGTATTTTACAGGTAATCTAGGACATATAAGAAATATTCTGTTTCTCCTTCCTCGCTTAGAAAGGATTGTTGGACCCCGTCTTAATACAAAGAATAAAAATTAACTTTGTCTCATTAATTACAGCATGTTCATACACTGTAACTTGGACGCAAGTACAAATTAGATGATTTTGGGTGATTTTAATTGATTTTTACGAGTTTTTAAACAAAGATTTAATATTAAATGAATGTGAAAGAAATTAGTGCTGAATACACAAGATTAAATGATACCCAGGCTACAGTGATAGTTTCCCCACGTTCATAACACAGAGTAATGCAATTGAAACTGAAAGACTCAATTATCAAGTCCGCAGCCCTGATAATTACACATGATTCTGGATAATCAAACATTCCTACTGTATGTCTTACTGTCTGTGGCAATAGAAGAGACCTTGTTGTTCATTTCGGAATATTTATCGATCTCAAAGAATTTTTGTTGTATTTTATTTTTGTAATTTAGAAAAATGGTCCGATTGGTTAGTTATTGCCACTATTGTATCTAGGTTGAGCTAAATAAAATAAGACTGTAGGTAATTCGTCATCTGTAGAAAGAACCTTGTACTTGGATTGATTTATATTTAACGCTTAATTAATGATAGATAATCTTCTGGTAAAGACAATATAAGGCGTGTGGAGAACTGATCAAGGGAGATAACACTGTTTTAGTACACCAAACTATCTTTTGTAATTGTGAACTAGTTTAGTCTTTGTACTGAGCCCCCATGTGATGAAACTCTAATACTCGCTATTGAAGATGTCATGTTGTTTGTTTGACAAGGCAGACCGGACAAGACAATGGTTAAAAAGATTTAAGCCTCCCCCTCCCTACCCCTCCCAACACTTCTGGCTTGGATTCAATTAGAATACAAAGAGGCCCATCTAAATACTTTTACCAACACCTAGGGGATGCTAGATTGTCAGTCCGGAACGTTCCGAATTGATAGATTCACAATTGAGTGACGCAGAATTCACATCTGTCATAGTTCTGTCACTCCCGACAACTAAGGTGGTGTGGCTAGAATCGTGATGAAATGAAATGAAATGGGGTTTAACGTCCTATTGTTCTGCTCCTAATCTGGGCTAATGAAGACGGGTAAAATCGTGATGTATTTAAATAATAAATATGTTTCAGCTGTCAAGGTTGATTGAGATATTTTCTCCATGGCGTCAGTGCATGTGCATTGTAGCCTGAAATCCCCCTTTTCACTCGTTTGACACTCGGAACGTTTGAGTCTCCCCCTACAGTTGGTGCAGACTTATTTTTATTCTATATAGATGATGCTGAATATTGTCAAATTTATAATTCATCACATCTTTGTAAATCCTGAATGAAACTGAACCATTTTTGAACTGACACATGTATGTCGATTAGAGATTCTACTTTCACAGTATCTGAATCCCTCAATTTTCAAACTGTTTAATTTTATTTTCAGGGTTTTTTGTTTTTATCTGAACAGTATGAGGATCGAGGTCATCGAATGTTTCATGCTCACAGAAGTTACGCAGGAATATCATTAGTTGTATTACGTATTCTATTGGCTGCCTTATTTGCGTGGAATCTTCATTCAACAATAGCAGCAGAACGCAGTTCACTCAAACGAGGATTTTACGGAACTTTCACAAAGGTAATGGAAATGAAAATACTTCATTAGGATACATTAATATTACTGTATTATAGATTCACTTGGTTAGATGGCGCTTGTGGTGAGATATTTTTTTGAAAGCAAATAATTCCTACCTATTTGTTGCTTTTCAAAAGTCTCTCATCTGAGAACGTAGGCGCGTTGTATCATAGGGTCTGTCATTGAGTCAACTGCCGTGGTTTCTATTCCCTGGTTGTACGTGACAAGGAGTGGGGTCGCCTGTCCAACATCATGGATTTTCTCCGGGTCCTCTGGTTTCTTCCCATTTGCTAAAGACCCCTATGCGCATGCGATTATTGAAATAAAATTAAACCATGTTAGCCCCGAAATGGCCTAGTTTGTGTCGAGTGGACCTTAAACCCCATTTCTCTCCCTCTCTTTGTTACAATAATACACCAAGTCTTGATTATCCATTTTTTTTTAAAATTCAATTATTAATTGGCAATCGTGTTTAAATTCGTTGGAAAAAAAAAAGACATCCGATGACCAGAGAGTTGATTATAGGTTTGACATGTGAATAAAGATCTGCAATAGACAGATATAGCTCTAACATAATGCATCTGTAATGATATATGAATTTGGTAGTTCATTCACTATATGATCACAGTTGGGTTTGGTTGTCTCTTTAATTTAGTGAAATGTACATTATTTTACAGAGTGACATGGAACATGATATGCTCTCTCTCTCTCTCTCTCTCTCTCTCTCTCTCTCTCTCTCTCTTATTTGAGAAAGGTACATTATTTTACATAACCTTCTAAGACTTCTAAGACTTAACCCACCCTTCAATGTATCCAAACTGATTGATTATATCGATGCCAATTGTTGACAACAACCGTTTTAAAAATTGATGTTAAGAGTTTATTCTGGGATTATAAGTATTGATATTTTTTTATTATTATAGTTATGTATGTTATGGTTTCTGTGTTTTCCATTTGCTGTAGCCATTTCTTGGATTATTCCCGAATATCTCAGGTTTAAGGTACTGTCATATATAACTTCTTTATGATAAATTATCAACAGCATTTTCACTCAATAGTTTTAGATTGATTCATAACTTATACTAACGGTCAGAATTAATAGAATTAAATGTCATTTAGTACTTTGGACATAATAAAAAAAAACTACTATGTTTGGATAACCAGTTACTATGATTTATGGCGTCAAGTCAAACATATAGAAACAAAAAAATAAAAGAAATGATAGTTAGACCCTGTTTCTTGCCAGGCTCTCTGTCAAGCACCACCGACAGGGAAACCACTCTGACAAATCCTGAGGAAATTTCTCGGGCAACACCGGAAGCGAACATGGGACGTCCTGGATAGTGTTTCAACGTCTTACTCACTGAACGTCCCCAATATTTTTATTTTTTTAATAGTTTATTATATTTAATATAATCTTTTAGAGGCATTTAGTAACTGGATAGAGCAATAAACTATAAGTATGTGTTATAATTTTTATCAATCTGATTAAAACATAGATCCTATTTCGTTTCGTTTTTTATAGTTCAAAATTTCATTTTACTTGTCTTTACTACACTAGGATCTGGAAGAGTTGTTATATAATACTGTTCTGGTTGAAGTGAGGGATTAGCCAATGAAACGGTCTTTTACGGCGAGTTCTTGGTGTGCTCTGCACGGAACTGTGGGTAAACCACTAGAAATGTCAACGCTGAATGATTAATCAAATGTCTGACATCATAGGGTCAAAAGCTGCTCGTACGACCCCTGAAGCGATCTTCCAGTAAAATCGGTCAGATCTTCACGTAGTGTTGGCCATCAAAAATATCAAAAAACAAAACGAAATATAGATCTGTATTTTAATCAGATTGAGTTATTATTTAACATTTTATTTTTAAATATTTCAGTTAATTACGATGGGAGTTGTGTTGATACAGTCGTTAGCCGGTGCGTTATTATATAGACTCTTTCTATCCAGATCTCTCTATTGGGAGGTGTCCGCATTATCCAGTACTTTACCGTTACGCATGGACAGAAACTTTGGCATCAAACTCTACTCCTGATGACCGTCCTTGGATTTAGTTTGTGAGAGTAAAATCAATGGAGAGGATCGTCCAGGATTTTAGAATATTTTTTAGGTTTTGGTTGGGGAGTTGTGAGATTGAATTAATGAAGAGTTTAGACGACCGCCTTGTGCCCCGATGTGTTCTGATTCTAAACTATTCTCTTTTTTTCTGTTGTTTCAAAAGTCGTCTAATTACAACCAACATGTTACTGAAGAACCCAGTTGGAACAGAACAGCAGAACTTTAAACTGGTTAAACCCCACTGAAAAACAAAATCGTCTGTTGATATCAGAAATATCAGGAGTTCATGATTTGTGTGAACAGGCTATGGAGGAGGGGGGGGGTGGGGAGGGGATGTGAAATGGGATATGGATATATATTTTGATGCTTGTATTTTCTGGGACCCTCAGACGGTCCCTTTATACCTGAATATGACCTCATTTTTCGAAGTTTCAAGCCGTTATCTGGAGAAAAACTGTGGTTAGACAGACAGAAGATATCTACATATAGATGTATCATCTAGTATATTATTATGATTTATGTTGAACATATCAGATTCTGTGAATCAACAACTGCTGGATCAGCCTCTTGGATCACTATTTACAATTTTTATAGTTCTGGAAAACTACAATCAATAAACAATGATAACTGAGAAGCCTGTCATACACTGTAACACTTATTTAATTAAAGTAATTTCTTGTGATAATAATACAGCTCCTGCATTCTGCAAACCAAGCACCAAAGAGTTTCGGGACATCTTCAGGGCTAAATCAAATTCTCTGTTGCGATTGTTCGATGCCAGGCAATCACAAATGGGAACAATTCAAGGCCCTAAAGTTGATCTATAAATAAAAACGCCTGGCACGTGAGTCCAATCAGTCTGAAGAGTTCAAGATGAACGAAACTAGTCACTGACACCCAGGATAACCAGCTGTTCATAGTCACTATTATTTCTTATTTTGATTTAAACACTGATCGAACAGTTGTTGTTTGTTGAAGTTGTTGTATTGTCATAGAAGATGTTTAAAGTAACAATGTGTCATTTGAATTTCTCGTTAAAATATCAAATTTCTCACGGCTTAATCCACACTTATATGTACTCAGATTGATTATTTAACATTAAAAATTTAAAATACCAATGCTTGGTAATCTCCTGGCTTGAATTCAACCAAGCAGCATAGATCGACGAAATTTCAATTTATCATAACTTTGCAAATACTGATCGGAATTGAACTGTTATTCATTGGACAGATATTCCTAATTAGAGATTAAATGAAGAGCCCCAGGGAACAACAATCTAAGCCACTCTTTCAACGAGCCCCAATTAATAGCGCCATCTGGTAGCAAATTGTATAAGCTTTCTGTATCAATTTCAGGTAAAAACAATCTGAGTCACATCGAACCAAGGCCCTCCTGAAATGGCCTCCTGGACAAATACGTCCATCATACCCTTTATTTGACCTTAATTTGGCTGAAAAGTGGAAGTCTGTTGTTGTACTGGTAATTATGATTCGTATTAAACATCATTTCTAAGTTGTAATTAAACCCACTTGTTGTTCTGTTTGCGTCAAGCATTCTCGTCCAAAAGTCTGTTTTGCCTTTTAAGCGAAAAGACGTGACTTACATCGTTCTTCCCCTGAACTCTTCAGATACATTATGGGAGATTAGATAAAGAGCTGGTAGTTCTCACTATAATACTTAAGAACTAGATAATGTAAAGGGAATTTGCTGAAAATTTCAGTCAAATTGATCCACTCTGAACTGAGGATTTAGCGATTGAATTTTGGGCCCAGCCTCGATCATCATTACTAAAGTTGGTACGATAAAAAACATAAGTCTCGTTTATCCATTTTTTTATTTGATCAGAAGCAGCAGACCGTGTTTTAATTCAGTAAATATCGCAGCCTAGCGGTGGCATTGAGAGTTGATTATGGTCGGGACAAGTTGATAAATGTCTAATTAATAATTTATATAACATTTCAGGCCTAAAGAAAGATCTGCAATTGGCAGATTTAGCGTTTGCATAATGTATGTTTAACATAAATGTATGAGTATCCAGTTTTACAGGAATGTATGATTATCCTTTAAAATAAAAACAGTCATGTGTCCCTTTTTAAATGACGCAGGATAATCTGAAAGAGAGAGAGAGATGGGGTTTAACATACACTCGACACAAACTAGGTCATTTCAGGACTAACATGTTCTATTTTATTTCAATAATTCGCTTGTGCATAAGGGTCTTTAGCAGTGGGAGCAAACCGGTGGACCCGGAGAAAACCCATGAAGTTGGAAGACAATCCTACTCCTTGGGGAAGGGATAATCTGAGAACTAGAATATTTTGTACATGGTGTAAGATATCAGTTATATTCTGTCTCTAGAGTTAGATCTGTTATGTAATATATAAAGTTATATGAAAAGTTAAATACACAAATATATAAAGGTTTTTGAAAAAAAAGAACTACATTATTTGTCGATACTAGCACTTTCGCTTATTTTTTTATTTATAAAAAAAGCTAAAGTGCTAGTAATGAACAGTTCTTTGTTAAAAAACTTTTATATCTTTGTGTATAAAGTTATATATATATATATTAGTTATGTATTTCTATATGAGAATATCAATAGCTTTGTTTTATATATGAAATATAGAATAAACGACATGTTGATCATATTGTTAAATTATTTGTCCCCCATAATTCGAGGAAAACAGGGATTATTAAAAAGAGTTGTCACTCTTATCATACATTTTAGAAGACAATAACTCTGCTTCTAATTGAGGTATAATACTCAAACTTAGTGTAGACGTTCATAAATAACCCTTGCCATAATATGTGAAATCTGACTAACAAAGTTAATGCTGATTTGGTGTGGAGTGGGTAAACGTGATTGAGTTTGGAAAAATGAAAATGTCTTGGGGTGTACAGGACTTGACAGAGAGCGAGAGAAATGGGGTTTAATGTCCACTCGACACAACCTAGGTCATTTTGGGACTAACATATGGTTCAATTTTATTTCAATAATTTGCTTGTGAAGTTGGACACTCCTTGTCACGTACAACCAGGGAATCGAAACCACGCCAGTTGACACAATGACAGGCCTTATGATACAGCACGCACGTGCTAATCATTTGACCGTCCAACCCCCCTGACTAGACAAAGGATGGAAACTGAACGGACTACAATATCACAAGCGTGTATGTCTTGACGAGAAATTGGAGCTACGGTAGACTGGACAACCTGCTCTAAATGACGTCAGACTGGTTCCTATGTCACTGCGCTATTCTGACTTCTACGTAGGAGCGAGTCTGACGTATTAGAGCAGGTTATCCAGTCTAAGAGCTAGGGTGGCTCATTGAGTAAGGCAATAGCTCACTAATCACGATAGAGGAACTGGCAAGGAACAGCGTCCAAGGATGTGCACGTAAAAGATTTCACAGCAGTTGGAAAAATTGCCTTCTGGGCAAAATTCCCCTCATGGCACATTGACTGACGTATGTTGTCTTTAGCTCGGTTGGTGCAGAAAATTTAGAAACACATAATAAGACCTATACTACTATAGTGTTGAGTTGTAGGAATAAAGGGAGATAATGTATTTCTTCATAAGGAGGCAGACCACCATTAATTTCGTCATTGACTTCAATGTTAATTCTGGCCTATTTGCCTGTTATCCTGTTATCCTTCCGCCTCAAAATCATGAATATTTACCAAAACCTGGCAGAAAATGTTAATTCAAACCCTCTTTGTCCATTCTAGACCAAAAAATCAACAAAAGTGGGCATGCAAAAGGGGAGAAAAGAGAGAAAGAGTTGCTATAAACAGACGAACTACAATTTTGTGAGTACCGAGATGGTGAAATTTAATGGTGGTCTGCCTCCATAAGCCAGCAAATGCCTGTGGAGCTTCTCCTTTTTAAACCAATCTGTTTCACAGAGGATAACGAAAGTCTTCTAATATCTCTGTAAAAGATGACTGTTTTCAACATGTGACGTTAATTGTTGACTCAATGGCATGTACATTGTTAATGTTTACATAGGATGATACTGGTTCGGGCAGAATGGTGCCTTTTATTTTTTTTCCAGAATTTTGAGAAGTATATATTCTGCTTTTATTTAATAAACTTGAAAAGGTTTAATTAGTCTTTTTGTGTAAAACAGATGTAAACCAGAGTAGGACCGCATTACAAAAAATAGTATACGTGTACTAACTGTTGGATATGGGATCCATTTAGGGTAGGGATCTATTCTCGAAGTAGAATAATACATAGTGCTATGTGTGCAGAAGGATATCAAGGTTGTGGTTCATTCTAGAAGTCACAACTGTTAGCAGATTTTGATGGCCCTTGATTGTAAGAACATTTTTTTTTTTTTAGCTAGGCTACATGTAGGTTGTCCCATCTTGTTCAAAATGTGGACGTATCATGCATGGCAACCACTTGTTAACTTCAGTCATTCCGATCTGACGGATCTGACCTTCATTAACCCGATTAATATAGAGAATTAACATGTTAAACTATTATCTATATTAATATTTGTGACTGTCGTTTGTTCGTCTGTCTGTCTGTTCAGGAGGGGGCAGCTACACTAGAGTTGTCCCGAGGCTCAGATTTGGTGTATAAGGGTAGCTTGGACCATGGAGTTACATAGGCCAGGTAGTGTTGGACTACCACTTCTGGTTTTGGATTTATACTACTTTTGCTTTCGGGCACAACCTGTGCAGCGCTGGACCATCCTAAGAAGCCATTTCTGTACTAATTTTCAAGCAAGTGACCCCCGAGCCAGATTCTTTCAGAAGAATAAAAAAGATGAATTTAATAACCTGATATTTAATGCTGCCTTCAACAAACACAAATACTGGGCACAATTCAAAAACTATCTATCACCGATACTTATCACGACCAGAGGATCTATCACGGTGGTTGGAATCATGATATCTATCAGAAGCTCTATGACGATCGGAATCTCTATGACGATCGGAGTCTCTATGACGATCGGAATCTCTATGACGATCGGAATCTCTATGACGATCAGAGTCTCTGTAAACATCTGACTCTCCATGACGAACAGATTCTCCGAAACGATTGTGTCTGCTATCCACTGAATTTAAATCTCTGTCTGGATATTCACGACTAGGTCTTTCACAATGTCTATCATATTCATCTGATCGTTTTTCACTTTCATAATCGCGGTATCGATAAGAGTTTCTGTCATGGGACCTATCTGAATTTGTATATCGCTCCGATTCATTATATTGGTGTGATCTCTCTGTGTCCGATCTATAATGACTTCTGTACAAGCTGTCGTTACCATAGCGATTAGTGTTTGTTTCTGGCCTATAACTATCTTCCTGATAATTTCTGTTTCTGTCACTATTCCATTCTACTTCCTTCCTCCTCTCATATCTATCATTCATCCCTCTGTCAGTACGTCTTTCATCTTCTCGATCATATCTAGATCTTTCTCTGCCTCTGCTATCATTTTGTTCCTTTCTATCTCCAGCCATTTCCATTAATCTATCATCCCGAGTTCTTTGTCTCCCCTCACTACTGCGATGTATTCTATCACTATCGTGCCTTCCCTCGCTATTGCCATGTTTCCTAGTTGCTTCCATCGACCTATCATCCCGAATTCTTTGTCTCCCCTCACTACTGCGATGTATTCTATCACTATCATGTCTCCCCTCACTATTTCCTTGTTTACTATGTGCTTCCATCGACCTATCATCCCGAGTTCTTTGTCTACCCTCGCTATTGCCATGTTTCCTATCATCGGATGTTTCCATCGACCTACCATCCCTATTTCGATGTTTCCTATCACCAGTTGCTTCCATCGTCCTATCATCCCGATTTCTCTGTCTCCCCTCGCTGTTGCGACGATTCCTATCATCAGATTTTTCCATTGACCTATCATCCTGAGTTCTTTGTCTCCCCTCGCTGTTGCTATGATTCCTATCACCAGTAGCTTCCATCGATCTTTCACCCCTACCCTCGTTGAGGCAAGGTCTCCTGTCGTTAGAATCATGTGATTTTCTCGCCATAGCTCGGTCGTAACCACGATCCTCCTTTTCCTCTTTTACTTTGCCAGTGCCATTTTTACTAGTTTCCGCGTCAGATTCACTACTCGTCTCTGATGAATTTTCTTTTTTCTCTCTTTTCTTCTTCTTTTTCTTCTCTTTTTTGATTTTTTTTTCAGATCCCTGTTCTGAAATAATGAACAAAAAATATTAGTGTAAGATAGGTTGCCAGACACCGAGGCATATGCACACAGCTAAATTGTCTGAGTGGTCGACAAATTTCATACAAATGTGGGCTTATAAAAATAATTCTAATCAAAATTATCAAATGATAAACCATCCGACTGTAAAACACTAGCCATCTAGCATGGAACAAGCTGCGATACGCTAGCCATACTAGCATGGAACACACTGCAAAATACTTGCATAACTAGCATGGAACACACTGCGAAACACTAGCACACCTAGCATGGAACACACACCAAAACGCTAGAAATTCTAGCATGGAACACACTGCAAAATGCTAGCAATTTTAGCATGTAAAACACTGAGAAACACTAGTAATTTTAGCATGCAAAACACTAGTAATTTTAGCCAGAAATCCAAGCAAATTCAGTAAGGAAAACACTGCACAACACTAGCAATTTCCTATAATGTAAATCAATAAGAATATACTAGCGTGTTATTCCCTATTTTCTCCAGTTTATCTTTCACATGACACAAGCAAACTTAGATCAATACACTTGGTTTGTACTGCAACCTTTCAAACACAAAACTACCTAGATCATCCAATCTGATTATAATACGGATCTATATTTCGTTTTGTTTTTTTTTTTTTATATAATTTTGATGGCCTACACTACATGATGATCTGACCAATTGTAGTGGAAGGTTGCTTCAGGGGTTATACGAGCGACTTTTGACCCCCATGGCATCAGACATTTGATTAACCAATCAGCGTTGATGTTTCTAGTGGGTTACCCACAGTTCCATGCACCCCTACGCCAAAAACTCTTCTTAACAGAACGTTTCATTGGCTAATCCCTTACATCATCCAGACCGTGGGTTATATAACAACTCTTGAAGATACTAGTGTAGTAAAGACAAGTAAAACGAAATTTTGAACTATAAAAAACTAAACAAAATAGGATCTGTGTTTTAATTAGATTGCAGATGATCAATACTTATCCCAAACGATCGAATGTTAAATCATTCCCAAATTTCAAAAATTAACCCACCTGTTTTAATTTTTTTAATTGGAATTTCATACTCCTGTTCTTCTTCCGACTCGGGTTCTGGACTTGGTGTCCGTGGTGCTATTCCTTCATTGCGTATTTTCTTGGTAACGTCGTCAATGTCCTGTAATTCTTTAGGTAATTTATATTCTGATACATGATCTACACGTAACACTCTTCCACACAGCTACAACAAAACATATAGTAAATATTCATAATACACAGCTAGACTAAACAAAATATATTAATACCACACAGCTAGACAAACAAATATATCAATACCTCATAGCTAGGCAAACAAATATATCAATACCACATAGCTAGACAAGACAAAATATATCAATACCACACAGCTAGACAAACAAATATATTAATACCACATAGCTAGACAAAAAAAAATATATTAATACCACATAGCTAGACAAGACAAAATATATCAATACCACATAGCTAGACAAACAAATATATTAATACCACATAGCTAGACAAAACAAGATATATTAATACCACACAGCTAGACAAACAAATATATCAATACATAGCTAGACAAACAAATATATCAATACCACATAGCTAGACAAACAAAATATATTAATACCACAATTTATACCACACAGTTCAACTTCAGAAATGTGGGCATATAAAAAGTAAATTACGTTTATAAAAATAACTTACCTTAAAACTATTGAGATTGTCGACAGCAAGAACAGTTGATCTTTGATCTTCGTAACACAGAAAACCATAACCTTTAGATTTACCTGTCGCTTTGTCACGAACTAAATTTATATTCACCAACTCCCCATACCTAAAATAAAAAACGGACCAATGTTATAGTGGTTATATATTTTATGGTAGAACAACTTATAAATTTGGCCTTTGTGCAAGCCTGGGCCTGGATATAAGGATGTTTAAGTGGACAGAAAAGGTACTACAAAGTGTAAAGATTAAGGTTCACCAGATAAAACCAAACATGTACTGGTACCCTCACTATTTTGAGACACAGCAGGTCTAAAGCGGTGGACACACAAGGCGAATGATTCGGCCTAATCAATCGGCGCCGAAATTCGCCTAGTATGTCCACTCTCATTCGGCCCAATCAAACATGTTTGATATAATCAGACGAATATTCGCCTAGTGTATCCACTTCGCCGAAGCATTCACCCGATTGTAGAATTCATTAGCCAATCACCACTCATTCACCCGATTGTAGAACTCATTAGCCAATCACCACTCATCATTCACTCATATCGAGATTTTCCGGCGTGGTACTACTGGAAGGCTTGTACCTGAAATGTCTGAATCATGCCGGACAATGTCTGTCTGTGACAGCTGCTTTAAATCCCTGCCACATATACTTACTGAGAGAAGACACAGACAATATCACCCTCCGTGAGATCATAGGGTAGACCACCTATAAATATCCATGCACTGTCTTTATATTCATCATGCCATGACTTTTTACCAATCACTCCAAGTTCCAATTCACGCTGATTTATCTTCTGTAGATTCTTCACATTCCTGAAATTAAAACATGAATGAATAACTTGTAATAAGGGGAAGAAGACAGGAAGAGAGAGAGAGAGGCTAAAATATAGTTCAATTTTTATTTCAATAACTCACTTGATGGGAGTTTTAGCAGTGGGAAGAAACCGGAGGACCTGGAGAAAACCCCCCAAGGTTGGACAGACAACCCTACTTATTGTCACCCACAACCGGGGAATCAAAACCATGCCAGTTGACTCAATGACAGACCTTATTATGCAGCACGCACACACTAACCATTCGACCATCCAACTCCCCAGAAGAAAATGAAAGGAGTGTACATCAATAAGATCACAAACATGTGATGTAATAAGCAAATAACACCAAATTTATAATTATAAATATTTCAATTATCACAATGTACACGATTGGGTTTTAAATCCTCAATTAAATTTGAGTCATTCAATTTGAAATTTTAAACTTTAGAAATGAACTGTGCAATAAGGTGAAGTTTCTCAGACAGCGGCCCTTCAGTCTACTTTTATTTAAAATTCCAACTGTCAAGGCACAAGGGTCCTTTAAAAAGTGTGAGGGACGGTGGCTTTGTGAGTAAGATGTTGGCTCGCTAGTCTGGAGGCCCTGTGTTTGATCCCTGGGTTGACTGAGAAAGGTCATCAGGATATTCTTGTGTGATTGCTCTTGCCAGTGATGCAGGAGGATAGAGGGCCTGGTTTTGGGGTAATGAATAGTCATTTGGATAGGACAAAATGCAAGTAAATTAACACGTGACAGTTTGAATTCGATATAATAACTTGTGATCTAGGATTAAATGTGACAGTTGTATGCATCGTTTCCGTCAATGACACTTGAGCCTTAACTTGAGGTAGATTTTTGATGAATTTCTACAATTCGCTACACTGCGGTACAGCAGGTCTACACTACAAAATCTTGCTAAAACTGGTTTATCGTATGGGAAATGATTTATATTTGGTAAGATTGGGTGGGGGGGGGCATTTATCCTTGCTAACTCGTTTTTTTCTCCTAGTACCACGAGCTCCAGTTCCATAAAAAGTTAAACGTGTCGTCAGTCGTGTGGCTTCTTTTTCAGGAAATGATTTCTAAATATAAAAAATCAAACGATATTCCGCCAAACTATGTTCAAGTTCAAGAGAGGCAAAGCGAACTTTTTGTTTAAACGTTTCCGAAATCAAATACTCACGTTAAAGGGTTCATTTTATTCAACAATTAAAATTGAAAACTCAAAATGACTTTCTCAACGGATTAGAAACCGTCACCGTTGTCAAACGATCCTAATCCTAAACGTTCCTACTTCCGTTTTACGACCATCTGATTTTTTTATCTTAGAATAAACAGACCGATAACATTTTATTCCAATAACATAAATAATTGTGTGGAATATAAATTGAGTACACAAACATAGAATTGCCCAGTTTTAAACAAATTTGGTAATTTACAACTTCACTGCATTACTCTTTTCGGCATAGTTTAACCAATGAAATGACCCAATGGCATCCACGTGACCTTCGTTATCAACCTGTAAACAAATGGCCGACAAAATATCTTGATTGGAGTTTTCACAGTTTTCGGAGTTTGGAAACCGTGTGACAGGTAATTACATTGTAATTAATTGTAGGTGAGATATTTGTGTCTAACTGATTAGATGGGAAGAGAGATGAAACAAGCAATAGATAAGCTTACAGTTTACAGACAGCTCCTAAAACCATGATGATGACATGATGTCATTGAATAGGCCTATATTTGATGTGTTTGCTTTTTACTTTTTCGACTTTGGGCTATTTCAATGTCGAAAGCCACGGTGGCTCAGTGGATGGGACGTTGGCTCGCAAACCTGGACGTCCTGTGCTCGACCCCTGTGTTGGCCAAGAAAGTTCATTTTGATTTTCAGGCGTAGTTCCCCCATGTCAATTGGTGCAGGATGGAGGGCCCAGCTTGCAATTATTAGGGGCAACGTACGTATAGTATATGAGACGGAAAACTGAGGTCCAGTGTACAGATATTGGTGCACATAAAAAAAACTCAGAACAGTTGCAATTCAAAATAAGAGTAAGCCGTAGCCCCGATGTCTGGGCAAAATTTCCCTGATAGCACAGGGAATGATGTATGCCCGTCTTATTAAGATGATTAGCCCAGTTGAAGCAGAAGAATAGGATGTTAAACTCCATTTCATTTCATATTTAATGCATTCAACACAAAGTTAAAAGTGCCAGATATTTTGGCAGTTTTAACTTAAATCATGTCTGGGTCTAGGCATTTAATCTCCTGTCAAAAGGCAACACCTACATGTGTTTCTTATTTTGAAAAAACAAAGGAAAACGTAATTATGAATGAATATTAAACACCAGCTTATCCATTGATTTGACTATTGAGTTACTAGGTTTTTCTGTGGCATACTAGGCAAATGAAGGAAGTTGCTAGGTTGTGTCATGGGTGTACTGCTTACAAAATCAAAAGATCAGAATATCTAGTAAAACAACAGGAAGCACATACCCTAGTAATTACAAATTTGGTCCTAACTCAATTTTGATCAAAAAAAAAAGTGAGTTAATAGGTTTTGACTTTTGACAGGAGTATTATATTTCACATTGTAATTCTTAACATAGGTTAACTTTAGACAAACAGTCGCCGTCGTCATGGATCTGTTATAAGTTGGTGATTAAACTACGAAACTCGACGACATTTACAGAAGAAGTACGACAACCGTCATTTATCAACTGAAAGACGTGATTAAAGATGGAGGAAGAATATACATCCAGTTCAACTCCGACAGACGGAACAGAGAGTGAGATGGATAACGATGGACAGACAGAAATAAAAGGAGAGATGAAACAAGACGAAGAAACGACAAGTGAAGACAGCGAAGATGATGTTAAAATTCCGAGTTCCGCAGAGGTGCAACAAGCTGAGGAAACAGACGGTAAATTATGTCACTCATAGATTTTAACTTTTAAACTCGGCCACCTTAGCGATACATTATGTAAGCGATAAATCTGCCTAACCCCAATCTTTTGTTCGGCTTCAAATTTATATAAATTATTGATTAGACATTTATTCACCTGCCAAGCCCAATAATCAACTCTAGAACTTTGAATAGTTTTGATTTTCAACAGATTTAAACATGATTGGCAGTTAATAATTTAATTTAAATAATGGATAATTGAGACTGTGTTTATTGTTGTAACGTCGGTGGTAATGAGAATCGGGACTACACTGTTCTTCAAATCGCCATAATTCTGCTCAGAATGAAGTGATTTGACAGAAATTTTCAACATATTCCCTTTTCATTATCTATTTTTTAAACTAATATTCCGAGTGCTGTCAGCTCTTTAAAGAAGAATTATGTAAGATTTAGATAAAGAGCTGACAGTTCTTTCTATAATAGTTTGTGGGGGTTGGACGGCCGAATGGTTAGCACGTGCGTGCTGTATCATAAGATCTGCCATTGAGTCAACTGGCATGGTTTCGATTTTCCTCCGGTTGTACGTGACAAAAAGTAGGGTCACCTGTCCAACTTCGTGGGTTTTCTGCGGGTCTTTCGGGTTCCTCCAACTGCTAAAGACTCCTACGCGCAAGTCAATTATTGAAATTAAATTGAACCATGTGTTAGTCCTGAAATGACCTAGTTTGTGTTGAGTATACGTTAAACCCCATTTCTCTCTCTCTTTATTAGTTTAAAGATAGAAATTAAAACGGAACATATTGAAAATTTTAAGCCAAATTACTTTATCCTGATAAGAATAGCATAGTCTCGGTTTTCATTGATACCAATCTAACAGCAATAAACAGAGTCTCGATTACTCATTTTTATATTAAACTATTTATGGCGATCGTGTCTCAATCCAACAAAAATCTCGAGTTGATTATGGGCTTGTCATGTGAATAAATGTGTAAGTTATAATTTATATAACATCTGAGGCCAAAAGAAAGACCTGCAATAGACAGATTTAGCTCTAACTTAAAGATACATTATGGGAAATTCGATAACAAGTTGGCAGTTCTCACTATAATAGTTAAAAACTAGATAATATAAAAGCAATTTTCTGAAAATTTCATTCAAATTGATCCATTATGAACAGAGAACTAAGCGATTGAAATTTCCGCCTAGCCTCGATCATCATTACTAAAGTCAGTACGATAAACAGCATAGTCTTGATTATCCAGTTAATCGTTAAATCGTGAAGGAAAGTTATGCAGTAAATCGGCTGATAATCCACTAAAGATCGCAGGCTAGCGATGCCACCTAGAATTGATTATGGTCTGGATAGGTTAATTAATGTCTTATTAATATTTAGATAATATTTCAGGCCTAAAGAAAGACCTGCAATAGACAGATTTAGCTCTTGCATAATGTTTGTTTATACATAGGTAATGCATCTGTAATGATATATCTAACCATTGCAAGATTTTAAGCTATTGTGTATGATAGCTGTCTGCATGAGGTGAATAACCTGTGAGTTTTCTCTTCAGAATCTAATGAAAAATTATAATGTTAATTTTTCTTGCAAAAGCTCCAGTCAATTTGAGCCTAACATGATTGTATCATTTTATTATTTCACTAATTTTCTTTCACTTTGGTGAGAAACGGGAGAAACTCATAAATATAGGCAGACTAGCTTAGTCCTTGTAATCGAGCACAAACCTTGGACTAAACTCATAACAATAACTAGATAAAACAATACAAGTGACTTAACAACTCTAGCTACCCCTCCCCCCTCCCCTCTAACAACAGAAAAAAGACTATAGAATGATTGTACCTGACACTGATAGTCGTGACGAATGTGTTATTTCCACTTCCAGGTTTAGTGCTAGAGTTATTTTTCAGCTCAGAATGTGTGAATGCTATGGAAAGCTTCATGTAGGCCTTTGCTGCACCAAATTTAAATGTTTTGGTTACTGAAACTAAGTGAAACAGCCAAAATAAGTTAAATTGCTTATTCACAATTTCTGACTCAAATTCACCAGGAAATGACATCACATCATTTATGACATCATAATACATAAAATTGATTATGACATCACAGTATAATGACATCATCAATATTTGTGTAATGGCTAGTATGAAACCTTACTGCTTTTAAGAACTATGAAAGTTGATGTTGTAACGATCTGTCTAAATGATCAGCCGTAAACATTATAGGGAAATACATTTGCCTCCATGGCTCTATTATGGTAAAGTATATTCTACTGATGTAAACATTTAATTACGGAGGAATATGGGAATTAGAAAACACTCTAGATTTGCTCGGGCAGTTGTGGTTAAAAACTAAAAAAGTTCAATCAAGCAATCATTATTTGCATTGATTGGGTGCGAGATGTATAAATTGTCCCCCGTCTGTGTAGCACATCTAAGGGAACAAAAACTGATGTTTATGTCCGTGTTCAGTTTTATTTCAATAATCGGCTTGCACATAGGGACCTTTAGCTGTGGGAGGAAACCGGAGGACACAGAGAAAACCCACGAGGTTGGACAGCCGACCCTATGCCATGTCACGTACAAGCGGGAGAATCGAAACCATGTCACTTGACTCAATGAGAGACCTTATGATCTAAAGTTCATACGTTAAATTATTCGGCCACCCAGCCCCTCAGGTAGGATGAGCACCAGATGTCATTCTAAAACTGTTGAATAAATTATTAAGGATTTTAAAATACTTATTTTCTACTTTTTATTTAATTTTTCAGAAACGTCAGCAATATTAGATCGGCCGGGATCAAAGAGGACCTTGCCAAAAATAACCCAGAATTTCCGACCAGAACTGAAATCAGGAGATAAAAGTGGTCGAAGTTCTCAAAGATCTGTCAAATTTAATCAAGAAAAGTTAGTAATTGCATTTTATTGATAATAAACTAATAGACAAGGTGGGGAAGTCTGGCTACAAAACTAAAAATCACAACAATGCACTAAGTGCCAATTATCCCCTCAGTGAATTTGTGGCCATTTGATTTACCCTGTTTCACAAGTATCAAACAGAAAATCGTTTTGATTCAGTGATATTTTGAATTCTTTAGCAAAGATGGCACTCATTGCTACCCTACACATTGACATGCACATTAAAAATCCCTTAACAGTTAGAAGTTGATATAACAGCAGGTCGTCCTGGTAACGTTTCCGTCATAGCACACTGTGTAGTGTACACCCCATCTTCATTAGCTCAGTCGGTACAGAACAGTAGGACATTAAACCCCATTTCATTTCTACCCATAGCCGAACAAAGAAGGGACTGGCTTCCAGCCCGGTTTTATTTCCAGAGTTTATGAAACTTTGTACACTCATCAACCTATTATAATAGCTCTG